CGCATGAAGTTAACGAAAGCTTAAAACTACAAATATCAATAGTTAACCAGTTAATTAGATGGTAAAAACCGCTAATACACGCCGAGCTGCATTTGGGAATATTAGTCTCTATCGTGTCTTAATGCCATCCTAAATTAAGATGGTCATTCGAAAAATCAGTGTGGTTCTGTAAAAGTAATTTTAAAGACAGTAATGAAGAGGAACAACTTACAATGACTGTATTACTTAGAAAACAAAAGACCTATAACACATATAAAATGGCTACATACACCCTTCTACCATAAGTTAAAACCAATCTAACAAAATTTCAACCGTAGGAAATCGTATAAGTAACAAATTCAATAAATCTAAAGAATTAATAATAGCATCAGATATTCGAATTTTCAAATACCCCAAAGATATCGAAAAAATAAAATTATTTTGACAAAAAATGCATATAATCCTCAAACAAAGTGTCTCATACATGCCGAAAACGTTCAATAATTACCATTTCAAAAGGGTCAGAACTATCATAAAAATCAAAAATTTCCCAAAACCAATAAATCTGGGGTACAAACAGGTTAGAACTATAATGTATGAACTAAAACATTACACTATTGATTACGCATAATAAAAGTTTATTACTCAAAATCATCCCTGTCAAGATCTATTACCTATTACACTAGAGACTGCACCACTGAGCACTAGATCAGATGTATACCTGTTAGCGAGCCCTCTTCCGTATTTCGGTATCTCTCATAGGACCTTCCTCTCATTAATGGTTTCCTCAGATCCCTTAGCAATCCTCTATGCCCTTCATGGCTTTCGATAAACATTTCCTAAACCGCATACAAGGCAATGCTCTTGAATCCAAAGGTTCAGGCGATGAGGATGTACAGTGAGATCCGACCTTTAGTACTGTATGGTTAACGAATGGCATAACTTCATGAAGTCTTGGGATACGGTCATTCACTTTCAGTTTGTTAAATTAGTTAATAGGTTACTTTTGGGTACTGCTCCATTATCATGGTTACTTGATAAATTTATGATTACCCTTAAAATCTGTATTTCCCATGAATATCTATTTCCACAATGAAGGTCCATCAACCATTTACGAGATCTTTATGTACCAATTTACCTTTATACCACTCAGCCCTACATTGCTCCACTCCTACTCTCCTTAGCATTCCTTGCATGATCTTATTTTCTTCGGCCATGTCACGATTGTTTACATCAGCTAACTACAATCAATTCTGACTAGCCATGTAATACTCGTAGTTGAACAAATTATCAACTGCTATCAAGGTTTACCAAAGTACAGAAGTGCGCCTATTTTGTTTTCAATTTAAGACTTTTTTTTTTATCTGCTTTCTTATAAATTATTCCAATCTGTTACAGTTGTTTCCTTGATTTGATCATATTACGCAGTCTGTTTTAAGTTTGAATTGATTTTAACATCCATTCCCCGTGATGTTGGGCTTGAGCAGCGCTTCCCAAACAACTCTCATCACGGTTTTGACATGGCCTTTGCTACATTAGGTCCTTGGTCAACATAAATCGTATGTTCCCCAAGAATATGTTTTGATCCCAATACTTCTTTGGGACCTAGCCTGATTGTGCAAGCCTGCGATATCTGACATAAGTCGACACACAGTATGAAACAACAATTACCTTTGGGCGATTTAGGCATTGAGCCTATATCAAAGGAAATCATCTCATGGGGTTTAGGGACATCAGTGATTATCATTTCAGCCTTATCAGGTCTACTCTTGGCTTGAATACAGGTTCTACAGTCTTTGGTGAAAGCATCTACCTGTTTAGATAAACTTCTCCACCAAAACTTAGCCCTGATTTGGGTTGCGGTTATCTCTGGCCCGGGATGGCTTTGGCAGTGGTATTCCTGAATTATTTTATCTTGAAGGCTTGGTGGCACTACAATACGTCTTCCCTTATACAACAGCCCTGAGCTGTCAACACTTAGATATTTAGTGTTTTTATAAGGTCCTCTAGAGATAACCTTGTTGCTCTGTATTCTAGATGTAGTCCACTTAATCCAGGCATCGTTGTCTTGGGCATTTTTCAATGAGCTGTCATTCTCTCCATCTTTACTCAACTCAGCATAAATGTGACTTTCTGCTTCTGCATCGCTTCTTTCCGTTTTAATGTCAGTCTTTACCACAATTCTGCTCAGACTGTCAGCTACTCCATTCAATTCTCCAGGGATGTACCAAACTTCAAACTCAACAGCCTCGAGCTCGAGTTCATTTAACCATCTCATTATCTTGTTCCGGGGGTCTTTTCGGTTGCGGATATTTTTCAGTGGCTCGTGGTCTGTATGGAATGTTACTTTTCCTTCACAGCAATACACTCTCCATTTCCTTAGGCAGCTGATAATAGCCCAAAGTTCTCTATCAGTAGCATCCCATCTTGTCTCCGCCTTGGTTAGTGTCTGGGAATGGAACGAGATGGGGCAGATTTGACCAATTTTATCCACCTGATAGAGCATACCTCCCACCGCGATGCCAGAGGCATCAGTCTGTATGTGAAACGGTTCCTTCCACTTTGGTAGGTGGAGGTTGTTCACATTGCCAAGCTTGTCCTTTAACACTGTGAAAGCTTCCTCTTGAGTTGCACCCCACTCGAATTGCACTTTCTCTGAAACAAGGGAGGTTAATGGTTTAGATAGTGTGGAATAATTCTTGATGAATCTTCTGTTGAAATTAGCTAACCCCAGAAATCGTTGGATTTCTTTCTTGTTTTTAGGTTTAGGGAACTGCTTGACTTTATCTATATTAGCTTCAGAAGGACCCACACTAACTCCATCAATAACAAATCCCAAGAAGTCAATCTTAGTGTAGCCAAATTCGCATTTGTCAACTCTGAGTGACATGTTCATTTTCCTCAATTCATTCATGACGATCTTAAGCATACTCACATGATCTTCCAGATTCCTGGAGAATAGTATCAGGTTGTCAGAGTAATCGTCCAATCCAGAACCATCTTGAGTCTGCTCCTTAGTCATGTTCTTCTTAGCACTCTTCACAATAGCATCCATATTCCTCTGAAAAGTAGGACCTGAGTTTTTGAGTCCGAATGCCATTCTTAAACATTGGTATTTACCACGCGGCACGCTAAATGCTGTTTTATGTCTATCTTCTTCAGCGATAGGCACACACCAGTAACCAGCCGCAAGGTCAAGTTGCGTAAAGTATTTTGCGCCTTGGCATTTGTCTATAAGCTCGTCTATGTTAGGTAAAGGATACGAGTCTTTAATAGTGCCCTTATTTAATGAACGATAATCGATTACAAAGCGTTTATCCCCATCCTTTTTATCAACTATGATTACATTGCTGTTGTATGGCGATGCAGACGGTTCAATGATCCCATTCTCTAACATTTCGTCAATTTGGCGGTTGATGTGTCCCATCCATTTTTCAGGGACTCTCCTGGGCTTATCAAAGCTAACTCTATTAGTTTCGCTTACAATATAGTGTTGAGGACCCTTGTATTTGCGAGGGGCTTTGGGGTTAGATGCAAAAACATTTTTGAATTCATCTACCACATTTTTAAGATTACCTACAAGTTCTTCATTAGAAAGCTCCGGGTTGATGTTGTATGTAGGTTGTTTGTCCTCGCTGAGTAGGCAGTATACCCACTGTTCACCCAGCTTAACACGACCCTTTTCCCAATCAAATCCGGTCTTCCCAAACTTCTGCATAAAGTCCGTACCAAGGATAACCAAGTCCGGCTGGGCGGGTAAGAATGTAGGTTTCATCCAGTGAGTCTGGGTCCATCCCGAGTGAAACATCACATCACACTGCACTGGGTCCCCTGTTTTCTGCTTACCACCAATCCCATTAATAGAGCCCCCATGTTTAATTTTATCTTCTAGTTCAGGAAGCAATTCAGCACTGATGAGAGATGTGTTTGCTCCACTATCCAGGAGTATTCTCGCTGCAACTATTTTACCATTGTACTGAATCTGTCCGTCTAGTCATAAGTTTGCTCTTCTCCCATTGTCTTTCTGCTGCGGACGTTGTTTGTTTCCTCTAGACTGCCCCTCTGGGAGTCCCATTGAGCTTGAGGATCCTCTCGAGTATCCTCCTGATCCTGAGTATCCTCCTGAGTATCCTCCTGACTTCTTCTTCTCACATTCATGAGTACTGTGACCCAGCTTACCACATGCCTTGCATTTACGTTTAAAACATTGAGTGGCAATGTGACCTTGCCTGTCACATGTATAGCATCTTCTTGTGCTTCTTTGCCTGTTCTCTGTTCCATAATACACCTCTTCAGTTTCATCCCATTCTCTTTCCTCTGTCCAGTTCTCTTCATGCTGGTCTAACAGGTAGTGCTTAATGGAGTCCAATTCACCTTTCAAGGCATCTAACTCTCCGGTGTAGTCTGTGGGTCTCTGATTCTCTTCCAAATCTGCTGCGAAGACGAAACCGTCCTCTTTCTCTTGCTTTATGTTAATCTGCAACTCCTGCTTAGTATGGTTTTGGGCTTTGTCTAGCTGTGGCTGTAGCAACGCAAACATTTCCAGTAATTCCGCATCCGTCATATCCGCTTTTATCTTTGCCTTGTTATCTTCATGAAACTTAACTCCTGAGGGTAAGAATCTCAGCAGTACAACATCATTTGAAAATACTGCTTCTTTCCCTAATTTCTTCAAGATGAAGAATGTAGTCTTGAGCTCCCCAGTAACAGGACAATCAAAGAACTTTTGAGCCGCTAGAACCCGTGATGGTTTCCCATCCACAAGCTCGCTCAACCTTTTGAGTGCTTTATCTAGATCATCATCAGTATTTTCTTCTACAACCAGTAATGCGATCTCCACTTCTCCTTCATTTCTGCAAACGTAAACCGGAAGAGAGTCAATTTTCTGTTTCTCTGATGCAAATAGTGCCGTTGCTCGCTTAAACAGTCTTCCCCAATCTTGAATAGACTGACCCGGCATCAGCGTTGGAATAACGTTGACTGGTGCCATATCTCAACACTTCTGTAGGATAGATGTTACAAAATAATTTGAGGTTATTATGTGAGGTTCTTGTAAGTGTACTTATTCAATGAAACCAGGTAATGAATGAGGAACAACTTACAATGAACTGTATTACATAGAATAAACCTAAAGGGGGATGTCGTTAGATAACAGCATATAAAATAGGCTGACACAGTCAAATCAGTAAAATTTGGGTCGTGGAAAGCTGAAATTTGAATATGTCCTACTGGTAGGACATATTCAAAATTTTCATTGCATCAAAGTTTTATCCAGTTATGCTGCAGCTTCCAGTATCTTGATGGCAAATTGTGTCACTCTCAACGACCTCACTGATTGGTCACTGATCAATTTTTCAGTCAAAACCGCGAAATTTTGGTCAGGGGATGGCAGAAAAGCTCCTCTTCAAATATCTTCCAAAATATCTTTTTATATTCTGATGATTTTCCGTTTATAAAGCTTTCTTTGGGAATAGAACTTTGAGTACCTCAATCGTATCTTGTACTACCCTCAGTGACCTTGTAAGATGGTCATTCAAGAAAAATTCAGTCAAAACAGTAAAATTTGGGTCCCGGAAAGCTGAAATTTGAATATGTCCTACCGAAATTTCGGTCAAGGGGACGGCAGAAAAGCTCCTCTTCAAAAAATCTTCGAAAATCTCTTTTTATATTCTGTTGATTTTCCGTTCATCAAAGCTTTCTTTTGAAATAGAACCTCAATCGTGTCTTATGCCATTCTCAGTGCCATCCTACATTCATGGTGGAGTTAGTAGAAAGACTTCCCCGTGAAATATTTAATCAGTCTCCAACAGTGTGACTTTCTTTGAATGTATTTCTTTCTATTCTGTTGTCTTTTTTTTTAATGCGTTATATTTTAAGTAAATTTGAGATATTCTAATCATAAATATTAAGCTACAATTTTAGTCAATGTGCTGAATGAACCATGGAGACCATAGAGGTACAGAAATTCCCTTTGATGGGAAGTAACATGCAGTATGACACGGTAAGCAGTTATATCATTTCTATTTTTTAAATGTTTCAATATTGTCAGTTTTTGTCATCGCATTCTAAACTTCAAGTAACTAACACGAATAATCTTTGAATTTTGAACACATATATTCATTTCAGAGTACAAGAAGTTTTATTGAACGACAACAACCGCCTAAACTGGATACAACTTTGGAAAAAGTACTGCAACTTCTGACTGATCCTCATTCCGTAAGTACAAATTATCACAAAAAATGTTTACTGTTATTCCTATCTCCTGATTTTTTTTGTAAAGATTGTGCAAAGATTGTTCTATGTCCCAAAGTGAAGTTCGTGTGATGCTGAGCTTGGAGCATCCTGGAGCTGTTGGCAGGGTGGATGATTGTTTTTTTTTCGCCACTCAGATCCTGAATGAGTTAAAATTTTAAATTCTGCACTAAATTTATACGGCAAAATGTGACCAACAGCAGTTTCATAAGCTCTTTTAGAAATCCAATCGGTGACTACTCTGGCAGAAAATAAATGGGCCAAATGAACAAGTTTCCGATTGATTTCTGCCCTGCAATTTTAACAGAGAGCATCATCTGGAGCATCATAGCACATGAATTGAGAAGTGCTGTTATAGAGAGAAGTGCTAGGCCAAGTACAGTTTTTCTCGCAGTTGGAAACATTTTGGAAACATTATTCTCATGTGACTTAAATGGAATGTTTGAGAGGTTGGGGTTTGATTATTACAATAACAATAAGTCTTTCAGTTTCTTGGTGGTTTAAAAAAAATCAAAACTTGGAAAATGTTGCCATCTGACACTGAGGAGGTGTTCGAGCAAATTGTAAGCGAAATTTTAAGTATGTCGCTTTTATGTTGCGCGAGGTTTATTTCTCAGAATTGTAATTATGTCGCTAACAATCGGATCCAAAATAACGAAAAAGTTACGTGCGTACCCGTGGAGGAACCGACACCGGATCGAGACCCATTTTGGCAATTATAAATTACTTTATACTACAATTATCACCTTTGCTTTGTAATACACTTTATCGGATAAATCATACTGTTCGGACTTCAGCTAGATAAGACTGCCCATAAAAGGCTTTGTCCGGAGAAGGCCTCGTTCACATGTCAAATGGTAAACAGAGTTATCGGTCCAAATGTTTGTTTTGTTAAATTAATTAATGGTTCCTGCAAACCAGATAACAGGTGAAATCAAATGATTACCCATATTGATCGAAAGTTTACCTTTAATAATCAGGTAACGATCAGTGTAATAAGGAGGCTAATTCCCTCTAGGGTAGAAATATGGATAGAAGTTAGAACTGAGATTTTAATCATCGTGATGAAATAAGGGGCACTATCCGTCGCGGAGTCGAGTCCGCGGCGGAGCCGCCGGACTTCGAGCGGACTCCGAGCGGACTCCGGCGGAGCCGCCGGACTCCGAGCGGACTCCGGCGGTGCTCCGCCAAAATGTATTTACAGTGGACTCGAGTACATTTTGGCGGACTCCGAGCGGAGCCGAGCGGACTCCGAGCGGACTTTAAAGTCCGCCGCGGACTCCGAGCGGCTCCGCGGCGGCTCGGCGGAGTGTCCGCCGCGGACTGAGCCACTAGGCGGACTCCGGTCCGCCGCGGACTCCGGCGGAGTGCTTGGCGGACTCCGCCGGACCTCTCCGCCAGACTTGAATCCGGCGGAGTCTGGCGGAGCTTGGCGGAGTCCGCCAGCTCGGCGGACTCCGCTCGGAGTCCGCCGGACTCCAACAGAGTCCACTGACTTCCGACCTCCGTCTTCCGACCCTCGGCTAAATTTGTCACGTGACATACAACATAGCATTTTGCAATATTGTGGTCAGATGAAAAGGTCGCTAGTGATAAACCTTAACCATTACCCTCACAATGTCAATAGTGTACAACTCTAGTCCTAACTTTGACCCTATAATGTATAAACGTTGACCCTAACCCTCCACCAAACCGTCCGCAGCGAAATATCAATGTCATTGACTGGTCACGTGACCAAAACAATTTTTGTCATATTATCTCATATGGGGAAGCGTTTTTAGTTTTATATATTAGTATTACCCTACACGTTGCATGTGGCGTCATTCGGCCGGATCCCAGCAAGCAAAAATACGTCGACCATCACAGGACGACGCCAGCCAGCACTCTACGCTTTTCGAGCTCCGATCGTCCTGTGACGAAAAAAGGACGAAGCCTGAGGTCCTCAGGTAACATCGACCACCGATTGAAAATTCAAAGATTTTTTGACATAAAGGTCAAATGTAAAACTAAAATCTTGATGCTGATTGATTGACGACGTCAATTTTTGAGCACAGTGCGAGCGCATGCGGAAAAGGACCGCGTAGCTAGTCAAGATGTTGATAAATATTTGGCTTGTGGCGCGATGTGTTGCTCTAACTATAGCCCTCTCGCTTGCAGTAGCGCGCGACCGCCGGAAATGACTTGTGGAACAAGCGCGCCCGCAGCGGCGCGAAAGCACCTGGTTAGCTAAATGAACGCGATGTGCCTTGCATTGTAGGATGAAATCCTACTAGCTGACGCCACTCGCAGCTGTGATGTTCGCTGTACGTCAGCCCTCATTAAATTTTTGGAGAAAATCGCTCGCCAAAATTTGTTGGACCAGGACGATGTCCTAGCCTGGCAGCTCATTGCGCGGCGCGTCGCAACGAGCTTCGTTGTTCGTCGACGTGCGACGAGCAACGAAAAAAATTGTGTGGCGCGTCGAGTGGCACATCTTAACGGGGGATACGCGTATAAATTTCGATTGCTGACGTACAGCGAGCAGCACAGCTGCGAATGGCGTCAGCTAGTAGGATTTCATCCTACAAGGCACATCGCGTTTACCTAGCTAACCAGGTCATTTCCGCCTCCGGCGGTCGCGCGCTACTGCAAGCGAGAGGGCTATAGTTAGAGCAACACATCGCGCCACAAGCCAAATATTTATCAACATCTTGACTAGCTACGCGGTCCTTTTTCGCAATATGCGCTCGCGCTGTGCTCAAAAATTGACGTCGTCAATCAATCAACATCAAGATTTTAGTTTTACATTTGACCTTTATGTCAAAAAATCTTTGAATTTTCAATCGGTGGTCGATGTTACCTGAGGACCTCAGGCTTCGTCCTTACTTCGTCACAGGACGATCGGAGCTCGAAGAGCGTAGAGAGTGCTGGCTGGCGTCGTCCTGTGATGGTCGACGTATTTTTGCTTGCTAAAAACGCTTCCCCATATGAGATAATATGACAAAAATTGTTTTGGTCACATGACCAGTCAATGACATTGATATTTCGCTGCGGACGGTTTGGTGGAGGGTTAGGGTCAACGTTTATACATTATAGGGTCAAAGTTAGGACTAGAGTTGTACACTATTGACATTGTGAGGGTAATGGTTAAGGTTTATCACTAGCGACCTTTTCATCTGACCACAATATTGCAAAATGCTATGTTGTATGTCACGTGACAAATTTAGCCGAGGGTCGGAAGACGGAGGTCGGAAGTCAGTGGACTCTGTTGGAGTCCGGCGGACTCCGAGCAAAGTCCGCCGAACTGGCGGACTCCGCCAAGCTCCGCCGGACTCCGCCGGATTCAAGTCTGGCGGAGAGGTCCGGCGGAGTCCGCCAAGCACTCCGCCGGAGTCCGCGGCGGACCGGAGTCCGCCTAGTGGCTTAGTCCGCGGCGGACACTCCACCGAGCCGCCGCGGAGCCGCTCGGAGTCCGCGGCGGACTTTAAAGTCCGCTCGGAGTCCGCTCGGCTCCGCTCGGAGTCCGCCAAAATGTACTCGAGTCCACTGTAAATACATTTTGGCGGAGCACCGCCGGAGTCCGCTCGGAGTCCGGTGGCTCCGCCGGAGTCCGCTCGGAGTCCGGCGGCTCCGCCGGAGTCCGCTCGGAGTCCGCCCGGAGTCCGGCGGCTCCGCCGCGGACTCGACTCCGCGACGGATAGTGCCAAATAAGGTACAGGGTACAATAGGTAGGTACTGCATAGAAAGGCCAATCCGCCGGCAATAAATTACACAGCTTCCACAGAACTGTACCAATTCAAATGATTGCTGAATAAACTATGGATAGTGATGAATTAATACCGAATATTGACTGAATACTGATCAGTGACAACTGCAATAGTATTTGCTATAAACCATTATCATGATTATGACTTATGTTCAAAAGTGAAAACATTGTCCATCATTTTCCAATGGAACCTGAGTTATTGGAATTTGTCGTGGGATAGTTCATGGACTCTGAACTTTTTAATTGGGCGTTCTGCGAAAGGATTCCCGGAGGAAAGGCTGATGGGTCAAAACTTCGTCTTGTCTGGCGAGATGACCATCCTCCGCTCAGCTATCTTATCGGATGCTCTATCATTGTATTGGTGAAACTTCTCTCAATAAAATACTGTTCGTTACCTGTTTATTAAAGGTAAATTTCCAATCAATATCATGTGTGATCATCCCATCTTATATATATTTTTCAGGAACAATATACAATACAAGGAATTCCAGGAACAATATACAATACAGGAACAATATACAATGCAATACAAGGCCTTCTCGGTTCTCCGGGTAGTATTCTCCGGGTAGTATTCTCCGAACAGTATTGTTCATCGATGTAAATTCCCGCACGCACCTACCTTTTGCGATATATAATTTGTCCGCGACATAATAACTTTTGAGACGCGAACATCTACTGTTGACGCCAGAAATATTGAATTTTATGGAACGCGCGAAGTTGTTTTTAATGATTAAAGTTTTCGTTGTTTATCGTTTCTGTGACAAAAACTGGGAAAATTTATCGCGCGCAAGAAAAACTAAATAATTGCATGGATCCGGGGATCCCGACGTGACAAGCACATTTTTTAATCTCACAAAACACAATAATAAAATTGGGAGAAGGAAAAGCAGGCATATTTCGAAGGATGGTAGTTCAGCAATACCAATTTTATCATCGCAACAGAGAAACCCAAGGATTTACGATCTGTTTTGATTTCTTATACGCAGCGCGGAAGCGATTGGCCATTACCATAGAAACTAAAAAAGAATGATTTATTTGGCTTGTTTCTCCGCATTTTTTGATATTTTCACACGATTTAACAAGAATATATTTCAGACGAAAGTGAAAGAAAGACACACCAAAGCAGTGAAGAGGATTTGTGACAGATACTTCAGTGGCTTCGTATCCTTTTGCTATTTGCTATCAACATCTTAAAACAAATCTTCGTTAAGTATCCATATTCCATTCTAGCCTCTCGGCCACTCCGGTTAACTGTAATATCCACCTAGCAGAACGTACACTATAATTTAACCAAATACTGTATCGAATATAGTAGTCAGTGAACATTATTGTAGTCAGTGAACATTATTGTAGTCAGTGAACATTATTGTACAGGATGTTTTCTTCAATTGCCAGTCTGATCACATAGTTTTTTCCGGCTTCATAATACATATGCATATGCCCCCAATCACTGGAATGGTTAAAGATATTGCATGGCATTTCATCATCCTCATTTTCGAGGGTCCTCTATTTTCGGGTCCCTTTCTATTCATTCAAATTGAAATTAAGGCAGGCGGAAGATTGGGCATGCAGAAATGGTAACACTAACACGGCTGTCCGACAGCGACTTTTGTTCGACAGCAGTAGCGTAACTAGGGGGGGGGGGTGCCAAAACTGCCCGTTTTGCTCTAGAAACACGCTTTTTTTGAGATTTTACCTGCGTATCCTCTAAAATAATCTAATTTGTTCAATTTTAGGGAGGGGCGCCAAAAGGGGAGGGGGCGCCAAAAGGGGGGCGCTTTTTCAGCGGGGAGGAGGGGGCGCCAACAGGCAACGTTACGCCACTGTTCGACAGGACTATTTTCTTGTGTTTGGAGTGATATATCTCAAATTTGTCACAAATAAATTCGCACAAACTTGCACAGATTATCCGTCTTGAAGCCATCTTACTATCCGGAAAGTTTGAAGAAATCTTATTTTTGGATGTCCAGATATATGCCTTGGTACCATTACCAGTACCACTGCAAACTACCAATTTGGATATATTTTCTTGCGTTTGAAGTGATATCACCAATTTGGCACATAGAAATTCGCCCAAACCTGCACAGATTATCCGTCCTATAACCATCATACTATCTGGGAAATTTCAAGAAAATCGTATTGTAGGATTCGACAGCAACTATTGTCCGAAAAACCTAATATCTGAGTTGGACAAGAGTCGCTGTCGGACAAAAGTCGTCGAATACCAAGGAATAGCGAATACTTGAGAGGTTAGCTAATAATTGAATGCTAACGAATATTGAATACCATCGAATGGTATATTCGGATAATATTTATTGTTATTGAATAGTAGGTACGGGTTACTAACGGGTAAGCTAATGTTACTAAGAGGAATGTTAGGCTAAATTAGAAACTGCAAACGCGACTAATAGATTTTATCGTCTGTCTAAACTTCAGGATGTCCATTGTCCATTGGTCTAACATTTTGGCCTCTCACTATGTTACTGTTAGTATTTTAACCTCGTAAATTATCGCCCAAAGGTACGTTCTAAGAAGAACAACACCCCTGGCCCTTGCACTATTTAATGTAAGCGAATTTTGCTATAGAATTAGAAGTCACGAATGACTGTTGTCCATAATTTGTACATTGATTGAGATAGTAAGGTGTTCCTCTTATTGGAAGGTTCTGGCGGTTGCAAAGAGATTTTCGATTGTTGCTAAGAGATTTTTGTGGTGGTTACCAAGAAATTACAGAGGTTGCTAAGCGTTTCTGTTTATCGATAAGAGAAGACGTAGGACTTCGAACTCCTGAGGTTACCCGAAGATTCTGGAAGGACATTGTGGAAGTTGCTCAATTCGTCTAGAGGTTAATAATAGTTTTTGCAGGCTATCCTGTTAACTTTTAATTGTGAAAGCATTCTGCAGAGTGCAGAGGCTTTTGTTTTAAAATTAAAAATGCCTTAGACCCTTTAATCTACCGCCTTGAGGAATGCGTTTATCCGCTTAATAGTTATTGGTAAATTTGTCTATTGTCTATTGAGTATAGTTAAATATTGGTGCATCTAGGATTATGCACCATCCAATGATGATTGTTCCTCGTACAGCATGGTTCGCACTTTGCCTTATATCGAAAAACATTACGGCTTAGATTTCTGGCTTTAATCGGATGGTATAACTATAAACGGTGAGTATTCTGCTTTAAAAGTTGGGCCTTATTCATTCGGAAAAATATATTACTGGGCAACACATAGCCATATCTTAAAGTGAAATACAATTAAGTTGACAGGGATTTGAAAAGAAGTTGAGGTTTTGTCGGATTATCCAGCCAGTGGAACATACTTTTTGTTGTGGGAGTCTGCATTTTCCCACCAGGGCCTGGGCCGTGGCATTGCGCGTGTGCTATTTATAATACAGTGTTAATTATTAGGATAAATTAGGCTAAATACCGCCCGTATTATTATAGGTGTTGGACACGAGTTAAAGTTTATACATTCTACGGGTATCTGGCTTTGAGAGAAAAAATATCCAGATTTATAGAAAAACTAAATTTTCATCACAATTTACACTTTACAAAACTTAAATAAACTAAAATCGTATCAAAGAAAAACCAAATCTTGGCTATCGATCTGCTTTACTAATGACTATATCTACTCTAGTTCATGTGGTGTGGTAGCGGTAGTTTCACTTCCACTTCACCACTCAGGTTTCAATGTGGCTGCCACAAAGTGTGAGTGGTCACTTGCTGGAAGTCTAAGTTAACCTCACTGGGATTACCACCAATCACTGGAGCTTCTTCCTTCTGTTTTGCTCTGGTGACCTAATAATAATTTTGGTAGCTAGCTGAACACTAAAGTGACTATGAACTCTAATGTCACGTGTTGAGAACTCATTCCTCATATGGTGGTGGAGACCCACTGAGTGCTGCTTCCCACACTGGTCTCGTCCTCCGTTAGTTCGTCCTCTTCTTGGGACGGATACTGGACGCAATTATCGCACCGCGTCGGCTCTTCTCCAGCGCGCAGTGCGTGCTCGTCGCACAGCGCATGCTGCTCGTCGCTCATCTCCGAACTTTTGTCGGATGGCTCAAGCTGATCAAGGTCTATTCTGGTCTCTGAGGCGTGTTTTTTGAGGAAAATAGTGGAACAGGAGGTGGACTGGTCGTTGTTGACGCGAGTGGAGGAGTAGCGGTAGAGGCACAGTTTATAAACTGCACACATGATGATCACGATCACCAGGATGGCTGCAAGGCTGACCAGGGTGGGGAGGATGTAGGGGTTACCACATGACATCTCGTCAAAACCTTCTTTACACTGCCGGATACCATCACACAGGTCACTCTCCGTCAGACATATCTTATCTCCGTCAGGGTTCAAACAGGTGCCCTGTAAAAAGGTGTTTATTTGGTTGATGATCAAACAGCTCATCAGCTCATTCAGAAATAGAAGTGAAAGTGAAAGTAAAAGATAAAGAAAGCAATAAATGAACTTACCCCAGTGGAGCAAGCTGTTGGACTGCTAGTTAAGGGATTTGGACTCGTGTGTCCGCTGCAGTCCTGCAAAACAAATGGGTGAGATTATCGTAAAAATGCACTGTGTGATACTTCATAAATATCATTTGGTTTTCTAGGATGTCACTATTTCAAGGAAAATGTTCGGAAGCTAAGTGTTTTTCACAAACACTACGCTCTCCAATTTGATCTTAAAGGAATCTGGCGGTCTGATGTAACTTACCATGAAGATCTCGTCAGTCCCATCTTTACACTTGGCTTCACCATCACAAAGATCCTCGACTCCATAGCAACCATCGCCGTCGTTGCAGGGTATAGACCATAACGGACATTTGTTCTGAGCCATATGCTGATCAGTGGGTCCAGGAAATTATGGGGTTGAGGTCTGGAACACAAGCTGCATCTGTCATAATCTAGGAGAGCAGGACTTGGTTAACATTAGCAACTTGGGAGTATTTGGCCGACAAACAAGAGGAAACAAACAAAAGTGTAATAAAATGGAGTATGTGAGGATTATTTCCAACAAACAGCAAGTGTTCTCGTGTTTAGCTTAAGATTCTGCTTGGGAGGTTTCTGCTTAGTGCTTGCTGTGCCTTATGAGAATTATTCTTAGATCCAAATATGGAATAATCGTTAACAAGTATGTTGCATATTCGCTCTACAAGCAGAAGTCTGCATGAACTATTTTTGTCGCAGTCTGAATGAGACAGTATTGGGGGAAACCTTCCAAGCGAAACGAAGGGAAAAACATTGATGTTCTCGATTTGTTTTCTTACAAACATACAACAACATGCTTCATTAAAACTTCAAAGGGCAAAGCTGGTTAAACTACAAAATCGGTCCTAGTTGCTCAAAGAAAATATCTCGAAGTCTAGGACGAATTTTTGTTTATTAAAGATACCAAATAAAATGAGTAGCCAATCAAAAGGGCGTATTAAGTTACGGGCGATGAATAATGAAATTACGAAACATATGCAAATGTATTGCCCGCTCAAAGGGCTCTCACTAAACGAATACATAAAATAATCTCGTAATTTAATAAACTAGTAATAAAGTTAATTAAATGTAGATCCAAGGAGGGAGCGACCTATTTTTACCCTCTATTACGCACCGGATACAAGTTTAAAAATAAAGCCTGGCCGTATGTGATCTCTGACACTGTCTCTGAGGCGAGATTTTATCTGAAAACATCAGTGTATCGCAAAATCGCAGACAACGCGGAATTTTCACGCCGAACAAATGTCTGGGGTATTCACATTAGAGCAGGATTATTTTCAGCACTTATCAGGGTTCACTCGAAGATTAGGTATACCACAGGATTGCATGACTGATGCCCTCGTTAATAAGATCGATAAGAGCGTGGTCTGATAAAGCGTTGCAGGCACGTGGAGGCAAACCAATAGAAATAACAGATCACAGCGTGCAGGATCAGTAGAGCAGGACGGGTGAAGTAACTGTGAAGTAACGAGTTGTTACCCGGTGGGGAGATGGTGTGTGGTGACAGTTAGCACCACGCTCCCGGATATGATGGGACAAACTGAGCTGATGAGACAAGGTTACAGCTGGTGAAATGAAGACAGGCTAGCTGGCCGACACTGAGGTTACATATTATATTCTTTAACTTGTAATTGTTGACAGCCTGGCTGTTGTGTCAACGTATTAGAGCAGTACACACTGCGCTCGACACTGGACACCGGGGTAGTGAGTGATCTGCACCAATCACAAGACTCCGTGGTGCCCGGGGGACCAATCACCGCAGGGCTACGTTACCAGGGTGACCAATGGGGAGGGAGAAAGGTGAGCACGTGCACAAAGTGACGATTTGTTGCCTCTCTGAGGACCCATTCTCTCTCTTAACACTCATGTAATATTAGAGGTGGGGCAGCGCTCTCTCTCTATGTACGAACCAGAAGATCAATATATCTAAAAGATTTAATAGATTGGAAAGTGGTGAACTTGAAAACGAAAAACTCAAGTCTTTCTGATTATGCTATGATATATGTTGATAGCTCCGAGAAATCGTAGAAACCTGTAATTCAGGACACAGGAAACACTGAAGAGGAGACTGGTGGGAGTGTTCCGGGTCATGGTTAAACTCTTACAGCCAGGAGGAAAAGTTCCGGAATTATTTACTTAATAACCCCCTTAAATAATAAATAACGTTACTTTGTAAACTTAGTTTCTAGCGGGTTTCTGGCAACATGTGATATATGGTGACGTACTCAGGGAATCATGGAAACATAATTTCTGTTCTGTGATAATGTGAATGTGGTATCTGAGTTACTAAACTGAGACTGGAGTGATTCGAGACGGGAGGAGATGGAAGGAGATTATTTATCTTCTTAACTTAATTTAAAACATGCGAAAAGTGGAAGCGCAGGGGTATTCCGTGCGGGTTTCGAGCAATTTCCCTGCAGTTTCATGTTTCTCACAATTATTGTTCGTTGGTAGGAAGCCGTACTTTGGATGTTGTATGTTGGGTCGTAGACACAGTAAAACCTATGACACAGCCGCCTTTTCTTAGCAAAACTTTAACCAGACAAACCATTGATTTACTTAGTAATAATTGGACACGAATTTATTTTTTCCTGATATTATATATTATGTCATGACATTCACTTGAATATTCAAAAAATATGAGGCATATATTTCCTTAACAATGCTGACAGTATCTGAAAGACTTAGGACTGGTGTATAAGATAGTGGAGTCGCTTGTTGAGCACATGAGGGAAGATGAAGACTATACCAGCTCGCTCGTTCAGATTATCATGCTTTGCGGGTAAAAATTCTTGTTGGCGACTTGATTCTCATGGACGTAAGGAATTTTCAAATTCCTGCACGCTTTACTGGGCAGCGGACGACATAGAACGTTTTAATGTGCAGTTATGATATCTAGAAGTAGCATGAAACTATGTGTTCTGTAAGATACTGGATCTCTTTTAGTTTTTACACCGGCCCACGTACGTAGTCGTCTCGCAGAGCGAGGTGGCAGCTGTATCTTGCAAGGTACATTACAACTTGTTTGTTCAGGAAATCGTTTCTGAAGGAGAAAGCTTCGGACGATGCGGTGTACGGTAAAGATCTAGCCGAGTTCCTTGTTAAGCTTGGTAAGTATAAGTGGTCTCAGTTTCTTTCTGGCTATTAACAACATGAATCTTTAAAAGTAAATACCGGATGTCAATTGGCAAACACCTAACCCAAAACCCCGAAACCTTATTATATTCACCTTCTTGAGACTGAAGGTCTGTGGGTAAAAATAATAAATCCAGTGCAATTAGGATTTAGCGATAACGATAAAAAGAACATCAGAAAGTGGTTATTGGCTATACTTGAGATGACATTGATTCACATTGTAATTCTCAAAAAGGATATATTTAACACGTACGGAACCCTCTCATTGATAAGTCACTGAAAAACGAACCAAATAAAGATACATTCCGATCCAAACATCACTGGTCAAAAACAAAACTAAGAATATTAAAACAATTGAAAAATGTAACCAACATGTTACAAAGTTCACACTTGGTAACCAACTCAGTTACTATCTCAGCAACCAACTCAGTTACTATCTCAGTAACCAACTCAGTTACTATCTCAGTAACCAACTCAGTTACTATCTCAGTAACCAACTCAGTTACTATCTCAGTAACCAACTCAGTTACTATCTCAGCAACCAACTCAGTTACTATCTCAGTAACCAACTCAGTTACTATCTCAGCAACCAACTCAGTTACTATCTCAGTAACCAACTCAGTTACTATCTCAGTAACCAACTCAGTTACTATCTCAGCAACCAACTCAGTTACTATCTCAGCAACCAACTCAGTAAACAATTTATATAATCTTATTTTCAGTGAGACTGATAGAGCTGCCGAAGCCTATGGTACAGATAGCAGTGACACACTGTATTGGTAGTCTCTACTGCACTCCGGTTCCTATCTATAATGACGGTAAATGACAACTTTGGAGCTCCTTATGTTTAAAAGAAACAGCTCAAGATATAATTTGTTACCATCTATTGATTCTATTTATACTCAGGTGTCTTAAAATAAGGTGCGGTTGATTTTAATAACGAGCCACGCCTTTAAGTTTACGACCCCTGCTGCACGCAACACGACACACAAAGATATGAGCTGTTTAACCGTACGCGGAGACTGCGCAGACCTAGAGGCTCTGCGCAACCGCGCCACCAGCAATCACCGATCACTATGGTTACCACTCATTAAAATACTTTTTACTTAGGAAACTTAAACGCAAGTTACCAAGGTTACTATATACCCAGGACCACAAGCATGTAGACACGAGCTGAACATCAAGGCAATAGAGGACAGCAACGTGGTCAAGATATTCGCTTCAGAGCTCAAGAAAATGGAGGACGACACTGTGTACCAGGAAATCCTGCACCTCCTCCTCTTTCTCAGTCTCTCGTGTGAGTTGACATGTCCTCTTATATTGATGATACTCAGGTTACGTTGCTAACCATGTTAAAGACGTGCGACTTTAACAGATTTTGTTGCCATGTAAAAGTAAATGTTAAGGTAATCGTGGGAATGCTGTGGTCGGAGGTTGGAGGTGTTGGTAGTTGGGGGTGTTGGTAGTTGGGGGTGTTGGTAGGACGTCGTGGGAGTCCTGACATTTGTTTTGTCCAGAGTTGATTGAGAATTAGAAAACTGGATTTACAAAATATTTGACAAGTATGAGATAAGTAAGAGCCTTATTATTATTATTAGCTGTATTTTTGCATATAATGATAATGAGCACGAAAATTAAGATATGATATACCCTTGATTACAGGCTATTTTACAAAGACCCAGACTATTTTGCAAAGTTAATAGGGTATAGAAATTGAAATATAATAGGATTTACTGGTTACAAATAGCATGTAAATAAAATAGGCCTGATTTACGGAGCATTTAACAGTTTACTAGTGCAGTTGAGCTCTTTTAAAATCTAAACTAATTTTAAATATGCAAAAGAAGGCGGAGCAACTCACGAATTTACCAAGTTACCACATAGCGCATCAAATTTATAAAGAGTTAAGGTTTAGGCTGTCAGGGCCACTATTTGCCTGGAGCGAAATTATTTTCGGTATAGATTACATGGTCCATGAAATCGTGACGGGAACCCATATTTAGGATTAGTGCTGCGTTGTACTTCCAAATAATCGGAGTTACTGTAATTTGGTATCTGCGAAGTAAACGTGAAGAGCGGGGGGTTTAGGTAAAGAAGTGGGTTTAGTAATAGCCCTTATTTACTTGGCGGCAAGAGATCTAAAGATAACAGTAACGTGCTTTATTCCTTATATTTTAACGCAAATATCATCATTAAAGCCGTGGAAATGAAATGAAATGAAGTAGAGTAGAGTAGAGTATTTATACTCCTCTCATAAAAAACATAAAATATCGAGGAATATATATAAATTGTCGGTGTCAGCCCAGCTCTTTGAAAATTTACAAGTGAGAAAAAAACTTAACTAATAGTTTAAAATAAAGATTGTACATTTACTGAACATTGTCACTTTTTCAGCGAGTAATTGTGACTGTTTGCTGGATATGGATATAATATCCGTGATCTCAAAGAACATGGTCGGAGCGTGTGGGTCAAGTAACAGGTAAGCTCTTCACACTGACACAAAATTACCAAAACGAAAGCTTAAAGTGTACCTAATACCTAGTGGTGCACTATTTTTTCTACCCTGAAGGTAAATGCCAAATGCCAAAAACATTTAGTGGACCGTAGAGGTTCACCAATCCGGTAGATAGGGCTTCAGAAACTTATTATTCGATAGAAAGTCGAGGTCCATCCGATGATGAGGGGTTTCAGGTCCTGTCACGAAATGGCACAACTTTCAGAACTGCCAAAATTTTACCATCGCAAGACAAGTTGGCAGATTTTGAGGAAAATCCAGGGCTGATTCCGTCTACAGGATTAAAAAGGAAACGGAGAGATGGCGTGACATTATTAAGGAGTAGTTTTATAGGCTCTGCTCTAACTCCTAGTAGATTGGCTCTTTTTAGAGAATTCTGTAATAAAGGGAATCTATTTTCCTCTGTTACAAGTCTAAGTATTGTGTGGAATGTGAAGTTCTTACGACACAATGTCCATGTAACCGTCAAGTGAGACTATTAAAGTCAGTTTTTATCTCCCGATATAAAAATATTATAAGAACAGTGAGGCATTGGATAAAGCAAAGAGCTAGGGGTGAAGTTTGTAGTAGATAAGATTGTCAGTAGTATTCTTACCACCAATTTCCTGTCTATTTCTAGGTAATATCAGCTCAAGTTCCACCCTACTACAACCATGGGCTTGCACGTGTCACACGTGACCTGCACGTGTCACATGTGACCTGCACGGGCATATACCCACGTCCCACCCGCGTCATACCCCATCTTGTACATGCCTCAAGCTGCTTTGCTCCGTATTAGTAAATTGACTGTTTTGGGCGGTTTATGGAATTCTGTTTTTACCTTTTTTCTAAAGGAGGCTGCTTCTGAGGAGAAGTGTTATAATACGGCATATAACGGCACTTCTACCCAATAACTTTACAATGACTGGACATCATACTCATTACTTTGAATATTTTCTAGGCACGAAGAATTTTGGCATAGCTGCACTAGTTAGCTGAGGAGAATGAATGCGTCAACATCAAATGTCTAATTTCCCAAATAACTAATGATTTGAAAAAAATTGTGTTAAAACATTAGTGACAAAACATGCTAAAATGTAGTCCTGGTAAACCAAAGCTATGTAGAATGAGAAGTTGCACTATCTGACTCAAATTCCAGAGTTTTGGAGGGAGCTGCAAACAATGACAGAGCTGGAACGATCAAAAATGATCTAATAATTTTCAAACAGACAGCTAATTAATCGCCAAAGGATTCCTGGGATGTAAAGCTAAATAAAGCTAAGAGTTGCTCTGGTACCAGACTCCGGAACGGGTAGTGGGTACGGGCAGTCCCTTCAAAACAACCTAACCTATACCCTAGTCCCAACCCTAGCCATATAACTAGCAGTATAAGTAGTCAGCTAAGTGTTCAGAAATACAAAGTCCACGCTGTCATCAATCAACACAAGTGATAGCACTAATAATATAAGATACAGCAGGATATCGAGCTAGCAAACATCACACATGTGAAAAATTCAGGACCACAAATCGCTTAAAATGGTCGGCGCAGAGGAAGTACGAGAAAATAACTTATACTAAGTTATGTGAACACATTTTTATCTTACATGTCACAGTACATATTATAATTATTAATATCACAACGCGTGTAACTGTGACGTCGCGTCTTATGTGAAACGTGAGTGTAATTACCGCAATTACCGCACAGTTTCAGATAATTAAAAAGGAATTAAAGTTCAATGTAGATGCTATTTCAGCAAGTTGTTGCAGTTGAGCGTAGAAGTACTGTGGAACGTTATCGAATATGGAAACCCAGACAAGGTAAGATTTGTAAAGGAGTAAAACGACAGTGCAGTCCCCGAGGCTAGATGTTCACAGACAGCACTAGACTCCAGCCGGGCCTTGTTTACTGTAAGATAAACTATAATTATTGAAAAGGCAGCAAAGTAAACACCTTTTCAGCAACAAGGGAAATGAAACACCTTTTCAGACAACTTTCGAGACAACTTTGGATGAATAAGTTCTACAAATAGTCGAGAATTATCTTCAAGACAAATAGATAGTCAAAATTAGTCGAATTAATTTATTTTGTTCCGTCAAAACCTACCCTTATTCGCTGAATCTAATTGATAAAGTTACTTGCATACCATTTTACCGGGACTCTCTTACCTCTTTTTTCGTGCTTAACTTAGCCCAAGCTAGTAACTGTTGTAACTTAGTACATACTCAACGTGCTAGACCTCACAAGATGTTGCATTTTTCAGGTTCAGGACAGATTCGAGACCAGCTCTGTCGTAAAGTGAGTTTGGATACATTAATCGAACTGCTGCTGTTAAGGGGGGTTTCCCGCCCAATTCTCCCCAAATTGTAACCCCCCCGATTAGACGAAGGACCCGAATAGTCAGACCTGTCAATGGTAGACATATGGAGATATCCAATAGTCTGGCACTCTGACTAGGAGGCTATCTGTTAGACCGCATTCTCATTAATATGTAGCCATTTTTATTCGTTTCACTCCTTGTTGTGATGTGTCGTATCAGTATGATGTAGAGCTGTAATATACAGTTATAACGGGGAGGGTCAATCGCTCGATAGCTGTATATTGGAACAGTATAATATCCGGTGCTTTGATCGCAACCTTTAATAAAGATCAAACCGATGGCCTACAAAGCGATCTAAGCTGTGCCGATTAAGCTCTTTTGACTGGTTTAATGTGCTACTAATAAGTCATGACAGGGGGTGGATATTGTTTCTCTGAAGGTGTAACTGAGGGAGCTGTCAAAAGTTGGGCAAGAGACAAGCAAGAGACAATGGGACTAATGTTTGGGTCGTTAGATCTTCAATATAATTTGATGTATGTGGGACCATGTCTCAGATACTTTTTCTTGCATATTATGACAGCTGGCCACTCACCTATCTAATAGCTTTCCACACTCTACAAACATAGGAATCTGTTTCCCTTTGTGTCGCTAGAGTTCCGACTTTGAAACCGATCAGCGGGGTCCTGATTGTATGCAATCCGAGAACTTGGCATGCATTAAAATATGGGAACGTGTAGGTTACCCAGTCTGGGTGATGGGAAGAGGTCCTGAGCCACGAGCGCATCTCCGCATTTTCACACTGTTGTAACATATTTCTCGTGCACTTGCAAAGTTTGTGTTTCATGAGAGGTTTCGGCTTGTTGCTCGTCAAAAGTAGATCCGTCTTGACACGCTGTTTTGGTTGAGAAACTCCCAGGAACTACCCTCAGACTACAATCGAGCCTGCTCAGTGTCATGTGGCAAGAGTTGGTCTGTGGACTAATACTCTTGAACAACTCTTTACTGTTCGCGCTCACGTGCATTATGAAACCTTTGGCCGAGACTTCCTTACAGAGGGCCGTTAAGACAAAAAGAGGTACCGTCCTTCAATACCAGGTCGAGGAGGCCAAGACAAAGGGGTGCACCGTCCTTCAATACCAAGTCGAGGTGGCCAAGGCTAGTGATCATTGTCGCCGAGGTCTGGGCCGAATCTTGTTAAAAGCCAATCTCAAGTTAAGAAATGCTACACATATCATGAGTCGGTAGGTACCAATTACGCGAGCAATTTCATCTCCATTGAGAACCAGGGAACTTGCACCCGGAATATTCTCACCTCATTGGAGATATTTAGTGCAGTGACCTTGGCACCTGAAACAAATGAGCGAGAGATGGTAATACTGAGTCTGCAACACTTCCCGCTCCTTATAATGTAACAAGTGAAGATGTACAAGTAAGGGGGAAGTGTGAATAACCGCCCCACATCTTGTTGACTAGACAGATTGCAACGTATTGCCCCAATCCCTCATCACGCACTCCTACAAAGAGTAAATTAGTCGTCTGATCAGGAGGGGGGCTAGAGAGTAGAGGGGTGTTGTGATACTGCAGTGATGAAAGTTAGCTAGCTTGGTCTTCCTTTTATCACCCCCACCTATCTATACCCCACTACAACAACACTTCAATATTATAATATATGACAACATGATCACACCACCTTTAGGAGCTGTCCAACATTTTCAGAGCGCAGTTCCACAGGACAGGGTCTGTAGTAACAACCTCCTAATTAAAGTATATCTGGGTTAACCCGGAAACGTGGGCACTAAAAAAAACGAGAGCAAATAGCGACTATTATAACTGCTGAGAAGCAAATACCAGCAAACATTGGTTGCTAGAGCCATCTGTGTGATAAAATACCAGTTCCGATGTGACTGTGCGACGCGTGCCGGTAGATTTGAAATTAAGCTAGCTGGAGCGATAAGGCGCCAGACTAACGCAGTCATGTGATACCGTGCTTGTCACTTCCCCCTCAGTTCTGATCGATATTATTAAAGTTTACTCAAAGCAGAAATCATTCATGTTATCATTAGCAAGGGGAATATGTCTGCAAATACCAATCATACTCTCAAAGTCTCATCACAAAAATGCGAGTGTTCAATTAAAATCCCGCCTACACAGAAATGAATATATTCGAATTAATAATCCGGTTATCTTTTTAAATCGTGTAATGACGGAACAACAAAATGTCTCAGTTCTCACCACATATTCCCTCAGATCGCTCTACTACACCTTCTGCCACTTCATCAAAAAAGCAAAGACTAAACAAGATCTTCAATTGCGGTGAGTAAAGTCTGGAATTCTCCGTCTCACGCCACTCAGACCACATGATACATTCCGGGAGTGACATGACAGAGTTTCATAATGTTAATCTCCTCGTTAAAACAAAAATACCACTTCCTCGAGCGGGATGGTAGTCATTCTACCATTCTACCTTACTAGAGCCGAGAGCGTCAGATTTATTGGTGCGTTGTGAGGTGTTGTCAAATTTAAGCTAACCAGATCAACTTTCACAAAAGGCCACTACGTCAACATGGTTTCCGGGCCGGCCACGTTTCTATTATTACTTGCGTATAAGTAGTAAGTACTCCTTACTGTTGATAGATAAAGGCTTTTATCATGCAATAAATTACAAGTTCAGACCATTTTCTAAGAAACACATTGTGCAACTTTGATTCTCAGTAGCAAAGATATGGCTATAATGTTGGCGTCGTTGCAAACTTTTAAATATGCCGATGATTTTGAGATTTTGGCACACCTGCCACATCTATAAACTCCCACGGTTTGTCAACATTTTAAAAGAAGTTTTATCTCTAGAGAACATAACCTTGACACTTTGACAGCTCTAATTTGGAGGTTCTGTAAAAATCAATCCTAAAATAGTGTTATTTCTCCCAACAATGAAAATTCTAATTGCAAACCCGCCACCTCGCAAACCCGTCAAATTCATTTGATCACCCATTAAAAGGATGACTAAGATGTGCGATCTTCTTTGCCAAGTTTGAATGGACGCGTTTCCGTGACTAAGATTACAGCCCAACTTAACTAGGCCACACCATACCATTCAGATATGTGAATTATAATCCTACAATAGAATTATGAAAGGCTAATTAATGTGAATTCCTAACAGTAAAATGGCACTCCTCTTATTACTTTATTATAATTAAAGCTAGCATTAAGAAGGAGCAAGAAGAGAACAGATATCGGATCAGAGAAAACAGATAGAGTACGGGGTACCACGGTGTCATGCACAGTACCTACTCAAGTAATACGATAGCCGTGAAGTAGACCCTTTAAGTACTTAGTACACGGTACTTCTACTTAATTAAATCAGAACAATATCATCCAATTACCATTATCAGTCCCATTAAATTTACCACCCGTGGTGAAAACGCCCTGGACTCGACGCGGAAAAGTGAACTTCTCTAATTTTCATTTGATCAGCCTCGAATGGTTCCCTCTTTCCAGGATCAAATTGCAGTCGCTATTTAACAGGATATACCCTCTGATTTTATCAGGGTTTGAGCTTTTTTCCCGCCATTATTACCCGCATGTTCGGTATTCGGTAATGCCAGCAATATCATCGGACACGAAAGTTAAAAAGTATCAAAGCTAATAAGTAGTACTACAAGGAGAGTCGCCAGTCGGAATAACATTAAACATAACGAACATTCTACCGAACAATTGTCGGGATAGAAATCATGCAATAGTCTGCCAATAAGGTGTTATCATGAGAGTAGAAATGTAACACTGAGAGTTGAAAACAGAGGCAGATACAATGTGATTAAAGTCCGTCCAGTGACTGTCACTGAAATATGTCACATAATTAGAATACTGAACGCGTTAAGAAACTATTTCCTGGACAGGTACCCTTCAATTTAAACAGAAAAACTTTTAGAACAAAGTCAGAAGAAAATTGTGTTAAAGCATAACAAACTCAGGACAAAACACCGTGTTAAAAGCTGAACAAACTCAGAACAAAACTCCGTGTTCCGAACCTGACAGTTGGGCAACTTGAACTACTCGGGCGTGTTTTACTTGCACGACGGGAAAGTGATGACAAAAAGTCCTGTCAATGTTAAGCAGGTCACGTGACTGCTTCTAACTCGATACAATGTTTTAACTCCCGGTGAATTCCTCAACGTCCGAGGTGGTATCACTACACGGAGCACCGAGTGGCTGTGCTAAGCAGGGCCTCCCCCCGGACGAGGCTATAATTCTCTGTTTATCCTTCTTCTGACCACGACACAGAGTATGCGAAAATAAAAATTCTCACCAACATTTTGACGGAATGAATGGTTTCCATGCCTCTACCAGCCCTGTACCAGCCCTGTACCGGCCATATGCCGGCTACTAAAGATCACTGTCTGACGAGAACACGTCCGAATGTTTTGCTGAAAGTTTAGGGAGCCCATTTAACTTCTTTTTAAAAGTCACCTTTGACGTACTAACTCAAAGTCAAACTCTGCAGTACAGATCGAGAGTTGTCCAAATATGCTCTTATATGGACGTGCCCAAATATGGTATGATTAAAATGCCCAAGTGTGGCGGTTTTTTCCTGAAAATATATCTCGTAGTCGCGAGACAAAGATGGCAGATCCGATATTGCACTAAGTGTCGATTGTAAATAAACGCAATTGTAAAAATTTAGAGAAAATATAAGTAGACTTTAAAAAACAAATTTCACGAGCAAACTAAATAAATGCTCTGGTAGCCCACAAAGAAGCACTTAACTCCATTTAAAAGTAACGGTATGTGGCTGAAATCAAATAACGATTTTTATTTTCCATAGTCTCTGCTTGTTGATTGTGCTTTTGTAGACGTGAATTAATCTGATTAGTTTAACAATCTTTAAATAAGCGCCCAATTGAACAATTACTGATCTGTAGAACAATGTAAGCGAGTTGTACTTGTCACAACGCGCTACTTGTGGATTTATGTGGATAAATATAATGTGTTATCAGCGCTGGTGCTAGCGATAGCACTATTGTTTCAATTTTAATTTAATTGCATGCACGGATTGCTGCGTTTACAACTGCCGGTAACATGCAGTCCACATTTAGCTGTGTTTAAATCCTGAAGTATCCTGTGTATCATATGACTCCGACTAGTTTATCATAATAATACTATCTAGCTGATTTTATAGACTTCTCTGTCTATGGTCCCCATTTATCCTTCGGTAAAAGTATGGAAATACAACATTACACTATTCGATATCCATTCGTCAATACTGATCATTTTATTATGAAAGTATTAATAAAAACTAGTCTTGCTCCTTTCCATTAAAAAACCTGATGAAAAATAGTGTTTAGGTAGGTCACAATATAATATGTATTAAGATCGGGCCAATTGTATATCAAAATCGAACCAGAACCTGACCTTGGATTTTGGCATGTGAGCTTTGAACGCAAAAAAATCAGCAATATAAAAGTGTTGTGAATGTTTCAGACAAGTTGTCATTATTTGAGGGTAATCACAATCTGTCAAATTCTGTCACATAGTTGATATACACTGTCCTATTTCCATGTAAGGGAACATCTGTCTCACAAATTCTCGGAAATGCAGAAAATTACGTAATTTTACAACTTGACAGGCTATGCAATATGCATACTGAAACAATCCTGCCGGCAAAGAGTGTTTTACGGACAAATTCTCAGACTCATTGACTATCTGATATCTTTATCCAGATTCCAGTCGGTCTATTACATGAACTTAGTGATTTTTTGACATGATTTTAAAATGGACTCCACTATCATCCACAATTTACTGAAAGTTTAACTCTCACTCTGTGAGACATTAACGACAAGACGTGTCAAAGAATGCAAATAATTAAACAGAAGTCTAAACTGCAGCTAAGTAACTATCTCAGCTCCACAAGTTGCAACAACACTATTAACCACCCAGTAGCGACACTATCAAAGTTAACAGGTTGAAGAGCGACAAAAGTGTTGGTTTCAATTCCATTAGTAGACTTGCAAGAAAAGGGGTGAAAGTATGAACTGTTGACAGTGACTGAGGGAGTAGGAGATACGAGTCCCAGATAGACAGAGCCAGCAGACAGTAGAGTTAACAGTCAACTCTTGTTAAACAGCAGCTCCTGTCCAGCGCTACTTTCTTCCCACTAGCTGATACTAGTGATGTCACAGAATGGCTCGTGACGTCACTGGAATGTCGTGACGTCACTGGAATGTCGTGACGTCACTGGAATTTCGTGACGTCACTAGAATGCTCGGATAACCGTTTAGGACGTCAATCTGTTGCTTAACTTGTATCTCTAACTCCCTAGATGTCTCTTAGTCTTAGTGTCTCTAACTCTCAAGATGTCTCTTAGTGTCTCTAACTCTCAAGATGTCTCTTAGTGTCCCTAACTCTCTAGATGTCTCTAACTCTCTAGATGTCTCTTAGTGTCTCTATCTCTTAAAATTACTATTCCCTGTCTTTACCAAGGTACATGAAACAGGCATTTTACCCCTTCATTCAGAAGTATAGCTCTGAATGAAGGGGTAAAATGCCCGTTCCCTGTATTTCCCTGTGTTTCAGGAACGATGTGATGTCAGTGACGCAAGTTCTAGTGACCCGGTGCCCTAGCGCCCCACTTCTCGAGTGTGGCTTCATTAAAATACTCACTCTGGTAGCCACCAGTTCTGAGGGTATGTCCCTTTGTGTTTGTACGTGTTTTTAATATGGTGGTTGTGGTAAAGGTTGGCTCATGGCTGAATGGGTTACAAATTCTGTGGAAACGCTGCCTGAGATAAAACTCGATCTTTGGGTCGAATTAATTATTAATATTACATTTAATCTGAAAGGTCCGTGTTCAGTTACCATGACTTGATACTACAGAAGTGCCACGACAACTCTTTTTAAAATACCAAGTAATTCATGACCGGCTCGTTGAATGTAGAGCCCCATATTTGCAATGATAATGGTTTCCCTTATAAGATTCGTTCAAATCTAAACACGGATACCGTATTAGGAAATAGCTTGCTAACAAGAAATGAACACCTCAGTAAAAACAACAGACGAGCTAATGAAAGGATTCTCTATGAAGCCGGTCAGTTTAAACCTCCAGTCCTTTATTATAGTCAGACTTTATTATAGTCAGACTGTGGACTAGTTAAACTTTTTACACACCCGACTCAAATATTAGTTCTCACCCAGTTCTTAGCCGGAACATTATTATTTTATGATCATCCACCGATCGCAGCAAATATTTCGTCCAAGGGACAAATCGCTGATCGAGATTACGAACAAGCATGGCCCGAGCAAATTTAAATTGTTACTTAGTTTCTGTCTAAATGACTCAAAACGTATTACTCCCCAGCAAAATGACGACTTTGAGCTAAAGAAGGCGGCCTGGACCACACTCATCGGGCTGGCTGAAAATGACGCCATGAGACAGGTAATAGTACTGAAACTATTTTAAGATATTATCATAGCAAACAATAGCCGCGGGGAAATAAAAGCAATACTGTAACTGTCTACACGACTGTAAAAGAGGGCCTAGTAATGACTTTATGGTATGTGCTCACATAAAATTAAGATAAAGCGTCAATGATCATGGTTATAAGTGTTTTAATGGCCTAATGGCCCACTTTCGCGAGGTTAATTCAAAAATTCCACACAATCCTCAAACAATATGGATCTCATTATTCTAGACGAGGAGGGATATTAAAGAAGTGGTCGTCTCCATGACGACCAGCCTTATCCGATCCCGCACTCTTAACGGTGCATTTAAACAGACTTGTTAGCTGGATTTATCGTATTGCTCGTGTAGAGAAGACTTGTGTCTAGTAGACGTGACTCCTGTCTCATTCACCTTCTCTGTATTCTAGTTCTCAGAACTATAAGCTTCTTCCCTGTTAAAAAAATATGGAAATACCTAAATATGGTAATGCCCAAATATGGTAATGCCCAAATATGTTAACGCTGTCCCCGCTGTCAGGTGATGATTGACGTGGGACTGCTGACGGCGCTGTTCGATTACGTAAAGCCAAACGACAGTGTGTGCAGTGTGGAATGGACGAGTGCTCAGTATGAAGAACTTCAACTTCAGGTCAGATCTGCCGAAATACAGTTTACTCTTCAAACATTGCTACAACTTCAAATGTTTTGCTACAACTTCAAAACTGGTAGCTCCATGGTTGTCACCATAGAATTTAGTAATCTGATATGTGATGTCAAGTTGTGTTAGGGATACGTGTTATACTTGCAGTACTATAGACTTCGTAATAAGGCGTTCTTGGTAAGGCGTTATTCTGTACTAGAATGCCCTAAGAATGTGTAATTTTAAGGATGCACCAAGAAAACTATGAAGCTGAGATTCAGTCTCAGTAATCATGAGAGGATCCAATGAAGATGCGATTGAAATGGGGCACGATGCACGTGTAACCGAGTCTAGTTGCAATAATTCCGTTTTTTCTTTACCGTCCAATTGAACCCTAGTCAAGTTGTAAACCCCAATTATGTGACCTGTCATACTCCCTAATACAGGACAATAGTTAATGGAATTGTAGTCAGTACTCTAGTCTTCATAGTACTTAGTAAAATGCTTAATAAAATCTAGTGTTAGTTAAGGCCAGATGGGGGGGGTGGGGGTAAAAATAAATTGTTCAGTTTTCACATAATTTGTGATAGAGCTGCTGGAGACGAAAAATTAGAAAAAGCCGGATCGAAATCTGACTTTACGTTCCTGAGATTTCGCGCGCCAAAGTTTGGGGTTTACCTGTAAATGTAATTACTAGTAAAACTGGGACTTTAAACAGCTAGATAACTTTTATAACCTTTCGGTTTCTTAGTTGAGAAAACCAGCTACTTCCTAATCTTGAAGTTTGGTACAGTGGTTCTTTGGAATAGTATCTAGAAAAGTGATATAGCGACTTCTTTTATTCGACTCGGTTCACGAATTATGAGGTTAACCATTTCAAAAAAGCAGCTTCGTCTCCAGAAGCTTATGTGAAAACTGAAAAATGTATGTCCCCCCCCCCCCCCCCTCTCCCTCTCCCTGGCCTTAATTGCACTATACGCTAAGTATTCTGTAGTTAATACTTGCTAATAAAAATATTGTGTTGTTAATGCTCCCATTCATTCGATCAGTAGACAAGTGCTGGATAACTTTCTGTCCTCACCATGCACTGTAACCTCAACACGAGAATATTTACTCAGAGAATACTAGAGTTCTTCTTAAACCACAACACTTGTTGCTCGTAAAAACCACGAGAAGGACCACATACTCATGATCAACAATCACTTTAAAGTACACTTTAAAATACACCACAAACACATATTAATGAGAAATACAGTTATGTAATTCCTGGTAATAGATCGGTATAGAATGTTGAAGAAGAATTTTAGTGTGCCAGAAAATCAGATTTAATCAAACAAAATAAAATCATACTCCTGGTTTTTAAAAATAATCTTAAGACAAGGAAGTTGAGGAAACTTACTTTTTCCGAGAAATCCACCAAATTAAGCCTTATTTGCAAATTTGTTAGATTACGATCAAGATAAATCCTCACAACAACTGAAGACTGATAGAAATGAGATAAAATGGTGGGAAAAATAATATTGTTAATATTAATGATAATAAGTTAAAAGTAACATAATTATTAAAAGAATTCTAGGTCAAAGTTTGACAGATTACAAACTTTATTACACAGCTGAAATTGATAGGTTAATGTAACGGCCTACAAGTCAAAGGTTGACTCGTTTAGGACTGACTTGTCAAAAGATCGGACAAAAGTAGAGTATGTGTGACCATCAAGGGATAAAATAAAAGAAACTTAACGACTCATCGAAAGATCAAACAACTGAATGATCGATTACTCGAAGTACCGACTACAAAGTTACGCCTGGTGAAGTTAATGAAGTGTTTAAGTGATCTGATGTAGGGAGCTAGCACTACAGTACGACCTACTTCAGTAGCAGAGGACACCTAATTAGTACAAACTACAAAGCAAAAAGAACTGTTTGTGTCAAGAAGACAGCTTTACAACGTACCATTACGGGAAACTAAGTAGGGAAACCCCAGTAACGCGTCTTATTCATCAGTTTTTATTTGCATAAATGTAAGAAACCCCCTTCTGCGTGAGAGGGAACAATGGTAAATGTCATGGATCACAGCTGCGGAGAGAGGGAGAGAGAGGGCAGGTGTCGTAGGACATGTCACACAGGACGACATCTACACGACAATTACACTGCAAGCTCTCTCCCTCCCCACCCTACAGCGACATATCCGACAAACACACCGACTACACAGAGCGCAGCTTAGACCTGAGACAACGAGTCACGAATTCCTGGCTTGGTAACAACAGGGTAGATTTTAAACACCAGTAATTCGTCTGAAGCCTTGATAGGTGTTGATGGGGTGACATGACACCGGGTTCGGTGGTAAGATAATGGTTTATTGTCAGGGGCTCTCTCCGCGTCAAACAATCATCACCAGATCACAGGATCTAATACCAAGGCAATCGTGTGGTGGGGACGTTGTGTGAATTACCCAGCTTCAAACCCACAAATTATGTACCGTAAAACGGAAAATTGTGCACTGCGTGAAACTGACTCCAGTACGATGGAAGTAACTAAAACTTACTATTTACAGGCACTGTCGAGTCTAGAAACCCTGTCGCCCCTGTGTCTGGAGGAATACATGAGAGGACACGGCAACACAAGACTTATAATGTTACTGGAGTGGGCGTGTCTGGACTGTAAGTCTCGCCACATCACCAACTCACTCACCACACCCACCGACACAGGTCACTAAACGGTTACTATATAGTTACTATACGGTTACTATACGGTTACTATACGGTTACTATATGGTTACTATATGTTACTATACGGTTACTATACGGTTACTATACGGTTACTATACGGTTACTATACGGTTACTATACGGTTACTATATGGTTACTATAATACAAATTGAAACGACTGGTTGAGTCAAACAATTGTTTCAATCATGAAAGTCACTGATGATATCATGCTTTCATGATTGAAACAATTGTTTGACTCAACCAGTCGTTTCAATTTGTATCTAGCTCTCGGCTTGCCGAATGAGCACTGTCAGCAGACGACACCACCCACAATTGGTTACTATAATATATATATGGTTAATATACGGTTACTTACACGGTTACTATACGGTTACTATACGGTTACTATACGATGAATATACGGTGACTAGAGGGTCACCATTGAATACGGGAAATCGTACGGGAAACTGTAAGGTTACTACATAATATATGATTAACTGGGAGTTACTATTCTGCTCCTAACGGCCACTATAATACGCGGCCATTGTACTGTCACCATACAGTCATTTCACGGCTACAAATACGGCTTCAATATAAGAAACTCATCATTTACATTTACAACTGGTTGTGATTATTAGGGAAACTGGAATTAATAATTTTTTTTTCAGCAATGTTAAGTGTTGTGTAAAAATGTCAAACAGTATATAAATATCTCCGGGATTTCGACGCGGGATCATATTATCACTCAGCCCGGCCCGCTGTTAGATAAACATCTCAAGGTGATATCATCCCGCCCCGGAAATTTGTATAAACCCGGCCCGCTTTTTAGTCGTAACTGATGTTTATCATTCAATTCTCCGACTTACAATAATCAATGATACTGCTGATTAGAACTCGATAATAGTAGAACAGTTAGACGCGCGATCACGTGGGCGCGTCACGTGCGTACCACGTGCCACCAATAGCATACGCCGAGTCTATACCACGTGACACGAAAGCGCACCACGTGATATGAAACATCGTAACCGTCCACTTCTTTTAGTTGTGGACACAACAAGAAAATTGAGAATAATCTTGTGCGAGGGTAGGGACCCAGATGTCGTTTCTAACCCAAATAAACTTTAAGGAGGCTTCTCATCAGTAGCCGCACCTCCTTACTCGGTTTCTGAACTGGAATTCTATGGGCTTCCAGACGGCCAGACCGAGTATTACCATCCCATCCTTCTAGAGTTCATCACAAGTAGCACCCACCTTGAAGATCTTTGACACCCAGACACACCCCATTGGCGAACAAACTTTGGATATAATCTTACATGCTCCCGAAGGAATCCCTGGTTTATGGTCTTTCTCATCGTCACCAGCACTTTCACTAGGTCACCAGCTCTTTCACTGAAGTCATCAGCCCTTTCACTGAAGTCATCAGATGTGACTCTGATCAACGGTATAGTTGTGGACACAACAAGAAAATTGAGAATAATCTTGTGCGAGGGTAGGGACCCAGATGTCGTTTCTAACCATCATCCCGCCCCGGAAATTTGTATAAACCCGGCCCGCTTTTTAGTCGTAACTGATGTTTATCATTCAATTCTCCGACTTACAATAATCAATGATACTGCTGATTAGAACTCGATAATAGTAGAACAGTTAGACGCGCGATCACGTGGGCGCGTCACGTGCGTACCACGTGCCACCAATAGCATACGCCGAGTCTATACCACGTGACACGAAAGCGCACCACGTGATATGAAACATCGTAACCGTCCACTTCTTTTACACGCAAATTCCTGGGAACGTTGCCAAAGCAGCTAATTCTTGGAATTTCTCCAACGCGTGGCGTGAGAAGTTGGCGACTAGCCAGCTACCCTTGTCCGTGCCCTAAAAATAGTATTGTTTTGCTTGCTCTCCTTCCAGCTCTTGTTCCTGCTAACGTTCAAGCTGTTGCTCCACTATGACAGATCGGTTTGACATTCAGATTGATGAACTGCTTTCCAATCGTGTTCCGGACAGTACAGTTCTAAAGTATAAATCCCTTGTCGAAATCGCCGGAGATAATTATAATCCATAAACACTTCACGCTCAGGGCTAAATAAATGTAATCCCTCAGCTGGCGCTTCGGGATTACATATTAACACAAAACTCGTGCGCTGCGCGCACTCGTATGTGTTTATCAGATCATCCCGCTAGCGCGGGATGATCTGTTATATAAACCCTTTGCGTGGCGGGTTTATGTTATTATATACAATAAATTAAATCAAGTGATGCAATTGGCAGAGCACAATCGTAAATCCTGAGCAACAGATATTATCTATCCCTCGTAGCTCTTCTCCTCAGGTATCAGGTTGAAGGAGACATTGAATTAATAATTCAACCGTTAAACGAACCTCGACCAAAATACTGATATCACGGTGTGCGGGCCGCGTGACAAAGCAACATCAAAATCACGAGGCAATCATAAAAAGAGCAGTAAGGTGTGTGACAAATCGTCATGTACTTATGGACCGGCCAACTCTGTGGTCGATATAAAAAATGAAATTAAGTGAAATTTCAGGTGAAATTGAGTTAGGCGCAGTGAAATTTTAAGTGAAATTGAGTTAGCAGTAGTTTGAAGTCAAGTATGAGAGGGAGGTTGAGAATATCTCGGGTTAAACAGAGTCACACCTGATGAAGTGAGACATTCTGACCAGTGCATTTTTCTGCATTTTTGTCGAGCTGACATTACTTGTCCGCAGTCTAATTATAGTCATTATAGTTAGATTATTGAGGATGGGAAAGTGGAGGATTATTCAAGTTTTTAGCATTATATAACGTCAACCAGGTAATTTTGACACAGGGTGACACGTTTGGGTTTTGCCTGCGTAACTAGGGCATATACAATTACAAAAACTATATTTAATTATTTGTTGTGAAATATGATGGTGTGGTTAGGGTTTTGTAACGATTATTTAATTATTTAATTATTTGATTCCAGATTCGAAGACTTTTGTGTAATATATCTAGGGCGTATGCGAGGTTAAGTTTAGTTAAGAGTTAAGACTGGTGGTTGAATTAAGGCTAAGGAATACTGAAGAGGGGATAGAAGTATAAGAGTTTGTTTGATTGTTTAATAGGTGAATTTCTAAGGTTTTTATTTTGTTGGACAAATAGTGCATCCCATAAATGCAGCCATAAATTTAACATTTTCTTTAAAATGTTTAAAGAAAATTTAACCTGATCCTATCCTAATACCTTATCTTAAGAAAATTAATAACCACTAACCTACGCTACTCTCAAACCAGACCAGAATTTTAATAACGTTTGGTTGACGTGTAAAATGGCACTGGTAGTTCTGGCCACCAAGTCCCCTTCTCAGACACCTTCTAGAATATAGAGCAAACAAACTGGAAACATTCCAAACAACGCCAAAATTTAGTGGCTTAAATTTCAACTACCACCAAATCCTGGGAACCAGTAAATTCCAGGATCAAAAGCAAAGCGATTCGAGACAATTAACTAAATTATGAAATAAATATATCAAGCAGGTAATTCTGGTAATTAAATAACCTATGGGGTACCGTTAATTTGAGAGGTCCTAATCGGTTTTAGTAGTCAGTCCTGAAGCCACTCGATCACTATATCAGGCCATGATTCCCCGTGAACTATATCCGAAATTGTTACATCTATTAGTTTTAAAAACGATCGTAATTATTTGTGTTCAGTTACTGAGGGCTGGCACCAAAGTTTTAAAATTAGCAAACTGGGCGACATTTTTTTTTGTATCGGGATTATTTCCCAAGAATGAAATATGATAAGTTTTTTACGGTCTGCGGCAGAAGAACGTCTAGAGTCGACGTACGATAAGACATGACATAACATAATACAATGTTCATTGTTATGATAAGGGCAATAAGTTGATTAATAACTAATAACGCCCTCTTTTTAAGGTCAGTTTCTTGCAATTATAACCCCAAAGGAATAATATATCTCCACAGTTTTCGCTTTTTGTGGATCACAAACATTACATTTCTCAAGAAATAGTACCTTTATAAACACCATCCTTATTCTCTCACCCCACTTGATTTTACCCATACATTACCCTAATTTGCAGATTCTAATTCTCACACCCCAGTTTGTTACCCTGAAGGTGATTACGGAGGACACGGAAACAGCTTCTTCGGAGAGGGGGGCTACCAAACCCGGCGAGCTCAGCTCCGATACACTATCAGAGTCCTTCTGGCGGTGGTGCGAACGGGAAACGAAAACGTCATACAAGATCTGTGCGATCAAGGACTCATAGGGTCGCTACTAGGTGAGGCTCCATCCACACGCGTTAACTGTGCGACCATTCATCAGATTTGGAGCATTCTGGAGCATTCCCGGGAGTACCTGCCTGTCGGATCACGAAATTATTGTGTTCTAGGTTTTCTCTGATTTACTGTGGCTTTGATCTTGAATAATCCCCTGATCTTCCAGTGGTATTGAAGATGTACAAAGACACTGAGGTGCCGATAGAGTTAAGTATCCTCTCAAACACTCTGCTCATTCTCTCAGTTGTCTGTGAGACAGACTCGCACAGAAAGGTAGGTTATAGCTCCTATTTTAACTTTCCCTCTAGCCCCTTTTGATTGGATGAGAACAGGTACCGTGATATGAATACTGCTTTGTGATTGGTCAATATCGCTTCACAAATATTCTGATCCCACGACCCACGGGCCAACATTTCCTCGTACATCTAGTCGGTAGTACCCTGGATAAGTCTATCCCTGGCCAGGGAGCCAGGCTGTGCCACGCACTGAGCCTAGCAGTGCCATGTGTCTGTGCTCCAGAGTTAAAACATATCTTGTGTACCAGGCGACGTTTGGAGACGAGGGGGTCGACCTCCTGCTCAACTTTCTCAGTCTCGACAGTGAGAAGTTTTCCTCAGGGCTGGGGTATCACAAACTGCTCCTCAGCTCTGTCAATGCTATCTGGTGCTGCGTTTCCTTCATGAACCAGGTTAGAATGAAAAGCTTTTTTAATTTTATAAAGGGTAACAGATCCTATAGTCAGTATTAAGGTACCAAACAACATCAATTAATTTTGAGTACTACATATTTAAGTATTTGTACACAAAATCGCCTACTTCCAATAACTGTTTTCCAGGACCTATTTCTAGAGCGTGGAGGTATCCCCATCCTTCTTGATCTGCTGGAGAAGTGTCCCCCAAGTATGCAGAACTTGGTCCTGGGCGCGCTCCTTGACCTCACAGAAGATGCACGTGCACTTCCGCACGTGGTCACGTGGAGGGGAACAGGCCAGAAAACTGCAGTGTCCCTTCTGATCCAGCTGTGGAGGGCGGAGGAACATGCAATGGGCGTCAAGAGAGATAGGAACCATATCATGGCAGGTTAGATACCAGTTTTTAAAGGCAGCAATTATGATATGAAGGCTGGCGAAGCCGAGTGTATTATACAAAACGACCATCAAAAGCGCCAAAGGCAACCATTTCAAACTAATCTAAGAAGAGAAGTACGTACAGTACGTACCTTTAAAAATTGCTGTACGGTACGTACCTTTAAAACTGAACCTTAAGGTACAAAAGCCACAATTTAGCAACATTTTGAAATTCGCGGAGAGTTAAAAATTATGTTTACTCTGATCCAAAATTATTTAATTGCCATGACGCTGGCAGTCTACAGCATTTGTTTAATCACGAGATTACGAAATGAGCTATTAGTTTTATGCAGTGTACGTTCGTCACTCATATTTCTTTGCTGCTGTATCGACTGTCGCAATATTTTACCTAATTCAGCAACCGGGTAGAAGAAACTAATCTTAGAAACTAATCTTAACCCGGGTTGATATCCCCATAAGGTATAATTCTACAGAAAAACATGTTTTTAAAACTATTAAAAATATTAATGCTTTTACAACGGCACGCAGTACACAGCTTACCTTTTGTACAATGGATTTTTCTGTGAAAAATCTGAACAGCCTTGAAAAGAAGTTATAGTTGGTGATGATTGATGAATGAGATTCTAAAGACCTCAAAGTATTACAGAACTGAATCATTCCAATTAATGAAGATCCCTTGGCTCTGCGGTGACTTGTGGAGCACAAATCGTTGAATTTCTTATTAGCAATTGCAAAGCAGGTCTCACCCAGGCCAGGTGTATATCTAGGGATTTTTTGAGGACACACTACCAGTAGTTTATGTTTAAGTTTTGTGTACGGTACAGATTTTATGATCTGTTGGTATGTCCTAAGCGTACGGGGTTGAATGCATGTAAGTGATTGTCCCCAAGTTCAAAGAGGCTCTTATCAGAGCTTCGAAAATAATGTAGGCTCACAAAAGTGAACGCTGGAGCGTAAAAAGCTAGAAGGAAAAGACTGTAGTCGCCTGCAATTAGGCAATCGGCTCCTTTACTTAATTATCAAAAAATTCAATAATTTAGGTTTTCACGTTTTTACGACATCTCACGTGACATGTGAAGACCACCCAGGGCTGAAGATTAGTTTTCTAGAGAAACCACGCGATCGAGAATTTAGATGGGGCATAATACTCGGAATGCTCCGACGCTTACAATGAACCCATTATTAGAACGTTCCTAATTCTGCAGGTCATATTATGGCCAATCATGAACGTTATAACAGCCAAGCCTTGCATTTTCGAAAGATAAATTTACTGATAATTGATAATCGAATTATCAGTCTTATCGATTGGCCTATTGTTAGGTAAATTACTACTGCACGGAAACTTCTGCAAGAATTAACACCATTTTTATCATAAAACTTACGTACTTTGTCATGCACCCAGGACAAATATACCGTGTGAATATTACAATGAGACGTATGATATACGTTCCTATAAGCGGCTATCAGTTTATTGGGAAATCGTCGGGATGGATTGGCCAATGGCCACTTTATTTGATTTAAATTCATCGATAACTGTCGGTATTTTGGGTGGTGCTTGGGAAGAAAATGATAAACATATAAGGTAAAGTTAAGTGATAAGTAATAGGATTATAAACTCACGTTTTAAGCAAGTTTGTGGATCTGTTGACCGTAAGCATGCTCAAATAAGATAAATTACTTACAACTAGGCAATGATGGAAATTATAGCCTCTTAATACCATTTCATTTTTACACGAGTAGCTTCAGGTTTTAACAAACCATTTGTCGGGTAAAAAAGTCGTGAATTAATTTTTAAAGGCAGTTTTAAAACAGAGTTGTAACTAACAACAATATCAAGACAAGACGTGAACCACTATAATATGACTCAAAGATAAAGACATCGAACAGGACCTTCTTAAGATAATAATTATAAGAGGTATGACTCATACATTGTAACAATTCGCTAGACGGGACTCATTTAATGATGGAGAGTTTTAAAACTTTTATTGGAGAAAAGGGAGCGATTATTGAAATTAATAAACTTTTATTACAGCAAAGTGGGTTTATATTAATGTTAATCAGTTCTACATAATCCAGACCAGTTTTTTTAAACATTGAACTTAAAGTTAAATACTTTAAATTTGATTTCAGGAAATTTGTAATCTTTTCCAGTACTCCAAGCCCTGTGTGGTACGCAGTTTGAGTTAATTACGATAATTTATCAGGGGAATTAGCCTCTCAGCTGCGTCGCTGTTTACCCCTTCACAGACCCAGCCCTAACCTTCCACCCCTTCACAGACCCAGCCCCTAACCTTCCACCCCTTCACAGACCCAGCCCCTAACCTTCCACCCCTTCACAGACCCAGCCCCTAACCTTCCACCCCTTCACAGCCCCTAACCTTTCGCCCTTCACAGACCCAGCCCCTAACCTTCCACCCCTTCACAGACTCAGCCCCTAACCTTCCACCCCTTCACAGACCCAGCCCCTAACCTTCCACCCCTTCACAGACCCAGCCCCTAACCTTCCACCCCTTCACAGACCCAGCCCCTAACCTTTCACCCCTTCACAGACCCAGCCCCTAACCTTCCACCCCTTCACAGACCCAGCCCCTAACCTTCCACCCCTTCACAGACCCAGCCCCTAGCCTTCCACCCCTTCACAGACCCAGCCCCTAACCTTTCGCCCTTCACAGACCCAGCCCCTAACCTTCCACTCCTTCACAGACTCAGCCCCTAACCTTCCACCCCTTCACAGACCCTAACCTTCCACCCCTTCACAGACCCAGCCCCTAACCTTCCACCCCTTTACAGACCCAGTCCCTAACCTTCCACTCCTTCACAGCCCCAGCCCCTAACCTTCCACCCCTTCACAGACCCAGCCCCTAACCTTCCAACCCTTCACAGTCCCAGCCCCTAACCTTCCACCCATACACAGACCCAGCCCCTAACCTTCCACCCCTTTACAGACCCAGCCCCTAACCTTTCATCCCTTCACAGACCCAGCCCCTAACCTTCCACCCCTTCACAGACCCAGCCCCTAACCTTCCACCCATACACAGACCCAGCCCCTAACCTTCCACCCCTTTACAGACCCAGCCCCTAACCTTTCACCCCTTCACAGACCATGCCCCTAACCTTCCACCCCTTCACAGACCCAGCCCCTAACCTTCCACCCCTTCACAGACCCAGCCCCTAACCTTCCACCCCTTCACAGACCCAGCCCCTAACCTTCCACCCCTTCACAGACCCAGCCCCTAACCTTCCACCCCTTCACAGACCCAGCCCCTAACCTTTCACCCCTTCACAGACCCAGCCCCTAACTTTCCACCCGTTCACAGACCCAGCCCCTAACCTTCCACCCCTTTACAGACCCAGCCCCTAACCTTCCACCCCTTCACAGACCCAGCCCCTAACCTTCCACCCCTTCACAGACCCAGCCCCTAACCTTCCACCCCTTCACAGACCCAGCCCCTAACCTTCCACTCCTTCACAGACCCAGCCCCTAACCTTTCACCCCTTCACAGACCCAGCCCCTAACCTTCCACCCGTTCACAGACCCAGCCCCTAACCTTCCACCCCTTCACAGACCCAGCCCCTAACCTTCCACCCCTTCACAGACCCAGCCCCTAACCTTTCACCCCTTCACAGACCCAGCCCCTAACCTTCCACCCCTTCACAGACCCAGCCCCTAACCTTCCATCTCCTTCACAGACCCAGCCCCTAACCTTCCATCTCCTTCACAGACCCAGCCCCTAACCTTCCATCCCCTTCACAGACCCAGCCCCTAACCTTCCACCCCTTCACAGACCCAGCCCCTAACCTTCCACCCCTTCACATACCCAGCCCCTAACCTTTCACCCCTTCACAGACCCAGCCCCTAACCTTCCACTCCTTCACAGACCCAGCCACGCCTCTACAAGGAGCAGAACAGCTGATGACTGACGTTAGCGCGCACGCCCTCAGCTCCACTCCTACTCTGGCTATACTGGATGTTGCTGATAACATGCGAGCAAAGATTTACGCTATGCTTTTCCGGATTGGGTTTGATAATCTACCTCCCGTTTCTGCCAAGGATCAGGTTAGAACAACTTTAAACATGATAACCATTCATTACAATAATAACCATTTACCATTGCATTAGTTACGATAATGACTAAAATTACATTTGTTGACTAAGATTGCCTGATTGCTGTCTGCATTAAGATCAAAGTACGTGATTTAGCAAACCTCTCATTCCCAGATACAAGTTCTCTTCATGTCGGCTGTAATAAATGCAGACTGTAAATACAATAATAAACTGTAAAGCATTTTACCGCTCAGTGTTTAAATACATATACTTTGTGCAGGTTTCCTGTAGTTAATGATCGAGCACAAAGGAAATAATTGGGGAGGGTAGATATTAACATACGCTAAAATTTCTGGGAGCAATTCTTATCACATCTTACACAGGATGTTATCTAATTCTTATCACACCTTACCCAGCATGTTATCTAATAAAACACCCTACTCCAGATCACACTGACTCTGATTGAGAACTACTTGGATTTCAAAGTTGGAGAGGTTTGGGAGGAGATAATTGCAGAACTGATGCTGGATAACATCACCCCTATCAAGAGTGACAGGGAGGCTCTCAGAGAGATACAGACTATCATAGCCGCCAAAAGTGAAGCTGTTAAACGGCATCAGGTAAGAAACAGACTATCATAGCCGCCAAAAGTGAAGCTGTTAAACGGCATCAGGTGAGAAACAGACTACCATAGCCGCCAAAAGTGAAGCTGTTAAACGGCATCAGGTGAGAAACAGACTACCATAGCCGCCAAAAGTGAAGCTGTTAAACGGCATCAGGTGAGAAACAGACTACCATAGCCGCCAAAAGTGAAGCTGTTAAACGGCATCAGGTGAGAAACAGACTACCATAGCCGCCAAAAGTGAAGCTGTTTAACGGCATCAGGTGAGAAACAGACTACCATAGCCGCCAAAGGTGAAGCTGTTAAACGGCATCAGGTGAGAAACAGACTACCATAGCCGCCAAAAGTGAAGCTGTTAAACGGCATCAGGTGAGAAACAGACTACCATAGCCGCCAAAAGTGAAGCTGTTAAACGGCATCAGGTGAGAAACAGACTACCATAGCCGCCAAAAGTGAAGCTGTTAAACGGCATCAGGTGCGAAACAGACTACCATAGCCGCCAAAAGTGAAGCTGTTAAACGGCATCAGGTGAGAAACAGACTACCATAGCCGCCAAAAGTGAAGCTTTTAAAACGGCATCAAGTGAGAAACAGTCTACCATAGCCGCAAAAAGTGAGGCTTTTAAAACAGTATCAAGTGAGAAACAGACTACCATTGCCGCAAAAAGTGAGGCTTTTAAAACAGCATCAAGTGAGAAACAGACTACCATAGCCGCAAAAAGTGAGGCTTTTAAAACAGTATCATTATCAAGTGAGAAACAGACTACCATAGCCGAAAAAAGTGAGGCTTTTAGAACGGCATCAGGTGAGAAACAGACTACCATAGCCGCAAAAAGTGAGGCTTTTAAAACAGTATCAAGTGAGAAACAGACTACCATAGCCGCAAAAAGTGAGGCTTTTAAAACAGTATCAAGTGAGAAACAGACTACCATAGCCGCAAAAAGTGAGGCTTTTAAAACAGCATCAAGTGATACAATTGGGCGGGGAGTCTACCATTAACGGAGTTGGGTTCTCAAACGGCACAGGAATTTGCTAATTAAACATATTTCTACTAACAAACAGCACTGAATATAACAAATTTGCCGCCACTGACCCTAACAAAAGTATCTGGCTAAAAAGTGAGCAGCTGCCGCGGACTGTACTTTTAAAATGGGCAGAACCCTACAGCAATAAACTGTCATGTTGCAATGGTTTACGGACTGAGTGGCACCAGCAAACATTTACCAGGAAAAGTTAAACTCCAGCCCTCAACTCTACTCTCCCACACAGAGAGGGAATCTTGCAGCGCAAAAATAGTGTTTAAATTGTCTTCTTTTTCCCGTACAAGATTAGCGGGCCCTCACATGTGGGAGAGCTTACCTTTTCTTCCAGAAAAATATAAATCTTGTTAATTCCTTGCATCCTACTGTAAATGTTACCAAATCTTCACAAGTGCACTGTAAAACCGAAAATTTATAGTCTGATGAGAGTGAAGGTGAGAGAGAGAGGACTTTGGCACAACTATGTATCCGGTGATATTGTGGCGACAATTACTTTTATTATTCGCGGTTCAATTAGATGATAAGGAGAAGTAGAGGCAGCCGAGCATGCACAACTACTCACGTGACATTAGCCGTTAGCAACATGAAATAAAGTGGAATGATCAGGATAACTGTTGATAGCTCGACCATGTTTAGTCTATCATTCTGACGTCTAGGGAGTTTCTTTTAATTACTACAAGGTACCATGTATTATCGTACCTACCTACTAGGGTATTATATATAGGGTACTCGTCACTTAACTTACAAACCACAACCCTTCATAGCCCACATATTACTGAATACATTCTTAAGAAGTTTCAGAGCCAACATTCCCTTTATTCGATTATATCGGACTCCTAGTACCAGCCTATTAGGAGAATTGATGCAGAACTAAAAGTTCAGAATTATGAGGTCTGTAAGTGATGAAATGGAAATCAAAGCATCAGAATTTGTTAAGCTCATATCAAATATCGTTAACAGACCACTTTACTGATTTTAATAAGTATGATACTTTTGACCGGTGGAGATTTATCCATATGACCATTGACCGTACATCAGTACTATACATGCCACTTCTTTTAATCAAACCCATGTTTTGATGGGTAAGGGAATTTTGAGACAAAATCGTTGTCCACAAAACCTATATATTGAAGAATTGTATCTTGATCCACAATCTCTATGATATAACCTTATCTTGGTTCAATAATCACTTAGAGAGAAATGTATTTCCTGATTTATAAAACAGTGTTTTCAGATGGAGATACTGGACAGGGAGAGCCGAGTTGAGTTGGAAGATGAACAAGCTTGTTATGAACAGATCAAGTTCAACTTCAAACAGTGGGAACAACAGAACGCATCCAGGATCAACTTCATCAACAAGTATTACTTTACTCGTCAACTGTTTATATAACCGTTACTAGAGCTGGTGAAATGACAAAAGTGCATATACCTGGGGTTGGGTCCCGACTGTGCTGCAGGGAAATCTGTACCAAAAGGACCGTGCGGCTATACCGCTTGAAAAGGGTTTCGGCATCTCGTCCCTAGTTTGCTAGGGTCGCCATGTTGGTTCGTTCGTTGTCTGTTAAGTGGTAACCATAATTAATGATTTGTTGGATGTTGGTCACGGTTAGTGACATACAACCATTAAGTGACCTTTTGAGAGCTGTTAATTCACCTGTTGAAAGCCTGTCAGTAACCTATTGGTGACCTTTAAATTGCTTGTTAGTTACCTTTTACTCATTTAGTCTACAATTCTAGAAGTCGCCGTTATCCAAATGTAAAAGTTAAGTACTGATCAAACATTTCACATGGTAGGTAAAGCTCCAACCAAATTGTCAGACCTTTCTTTTAATTTAAGATAAAGTTATATTTATTAATCATTCCGTGGCCAAATTAACTCTGACTTAATCTGCAATCGTTATAAGCTAACGGATATTTAAATTGACGCCCCACACACACACACACACATGGCCTAATTTTTCCATAACAACGACTAATAACCGCCCTGGATCTGATTAGCCGGGTAATCACTTTTCTCGCCTCCCAATTCATGAGCTTGCAAGATAATTATGCAGTGCAATTTATATGGTAATATCATAACGTATAATAATGCAGGCTGTGATTAGTGTGCCGTCTACTCCGGCTGGCCACAGTTTTCAGGAAATTTCACCACTTTCTCACGGACATCACCTGCTCCACCTGTCCACTTGTCTTTTCACATTGCTGTAATGGGATAATGAGTGTCATCTGGAATGAATTCAGGTATAATAACGTGACCCTGGGGGAGTGATAAGTGAACTGTTATAAGAGAATCTCTCCTCCCTCCTCGTGGTGTAGTTTAGAACTTAGGAGAATAACTGTGAGAACAATCGATGGCTACAGACCGTGTCTGGGATCAGCCAGCCAGAAGATTATACTTTTAGGATGCCACGGGCCACCATCGCCAATGTGAAGATTGAGTTTAAATTTTAAGTGAGAATTCAAGTGTTCTAGAATCGTATGTATACTGTATATTGTATAATACCGGATGGATCGATCAGAGATACAACTTCACAGTCATTTTCCGTAGTTGGAGCGTGCTTATTATCTAGAAGTGGAACGTTTTAAAGTTGGTATTTTATATCGCTAACTTCGAATGTGTAGTAGGGTGGTACTCTTTAACTCTAATACCTTAAACGGTCATTATAAGAGTACTAGACTTAAATATTGTTTTCTATTTCCAAGCTTTTTACTGGGTTGTTGAATGTTGGTTTCGATCCTCAAAGTCTATCTATTAAGACAGGTTGTACTATGAATATGCTTTATTCTGAACTTTCGACGTAGAACAGTTGCAAAGTACCTCACAAAAGAGTCTGACTACCGCCTGGTCAGTGGTTACAAACTTTTAGAAACTTCCAGCACTTTCTCCATTGGCCCTAGCCAGTACTTTGCACTTTAAATGCGTAATAACACTCGACCAAGAGGCTGGAATCGTGGCATTTATCTCTCAAGTTTATTGACAATTCTCCGGAATACTGTCTGGTCTATACTTAATATTGGGTCATTTAAATCACTGCAACGTAAAATAACTTAATAATAGCTTAATACTTCGGCATGAATGATGTGACGTCATACCACGTGAATAAAAGCATGATATCACGTGACCACCTATTCAAACATTTCGACAGTTCCGGGTTGATTAAGGAACGCCCGACTGGGATCGCCTCTTTCATTATCTCTCTAATTTTTGTAACGTCACAATGTACAGCTAATCTGATTCACATAAATGGCCAGAAAGTTGACCAGCTAACCTCAAAACAATCGCTTAGATATCGATTATATCTCAAAGTGTGGGTAAGCCCGGGCTATTTCCTGCTTTTAACTGCGTATTTTCTGCAGAACAAGCGACTACGAGACTCTTCAAATATCAAAACAAAGGCAAAGTGCTCTGGCTGAGAAATCAAAACAGGATCCCCCAGGGTAAGAAATGGAGAATATCTATCAATTTATACTTTCTATTATTCGCCGCGTGTACCAATGTTTCAGCAATTCTGACGAAGTGTGCCAGACAATGAGACTGTAGAATGCATCTTATACACAAGTGATGTTACGTCTCGTGATTGTTGAAAGCGATTAGGTCTAAAAGTAAAATTCTAGAAAGATCTGCAGCTACATTAATAATTATACTGGACACAAGTCTCATTATTAGAAGGGAACCCGAACCTTTGTAGCTTGAGGTATAATTTGGTTTGGGATAAGTTTGTCCGGTTCTAACAGCCAGGATTCACCCGGAGTTTCAATCTTATTTTTAACTCTCGTACTCCCCCAGTATCAGGGACACAGTGGAACACAACACCTTGCTCAAGATGCTGACCACCACTGTTCACAGTGGGCGCCACATCAACGTCCCCCTCTCTGATAACCCTAACCTTGTCTCTCCGCACAAGGTCCTTCCTGGTATCTCCCCCACTCGCAGCAACGAGCGCAGTGTCATCACTCAGTGACTTCGTCACGTGATCTGTGAAAACATGTCCCGTGGTGAGTGACGTCGCGTGATGTTGTGACGTCACGTGATGTTGTGACGTCACGTGATGTTATGACATCACGTGGTGACTGACATCACTTAGTGAGTGTGCTGTACTTGAACGGAACTTTATTTGATATGGCAGACTTTTTGTACACTTTTAATTTATTCTCACAAAAAATCTCGTTAGATGCCAGGATCCTTCACATATAAGTTAAAGTATAACGCAGTTTCTGAGAAAATATATTTTACAAACGATGATTAAATTATAGCTCTGCAGAAACACAGGAGGACTATATTGTGCGAAAATACAACTGCATAATATGTGAAGAGTTCCTTAGATTATTTAAGTCTAAAAAATAATAAAACAAGAGTATTTTGGATATTTTTAAGTCATGCGATTACCTTTGTAAATAATTGTACATATTATGTCACTGTTCTCATTTGCATCCCTTAATTAACAGTTTTCTACTTTGTATTACGCCAAATCTTAATTATCAAATAATGAAATGATTACTAATTAAATAATATCAGCTATAAAATAAACGAAAAGATAAAATCATAAATATAATTCTTATCAAAGATTTGTTTTCTGAATTATATCGTTAAGATTCCATGGCTTATCAAAACAAATACCAATGTTAATAAATACAAATTTTAAGTCCTAAATCATTCATAAATTAACTATCAATAAATAATGGTTTTTGGCCAATTTATCTGGTAAGTGTAACTTCTATACGTTAAGAATAAAAATAAGATGTATTTTTTTTGGAAATAAAACAAATTCTAATTTTTAAGACATAAGTTTTTTAAGGCATTATTTTTGTAGGCAGGGTAATTTTAAAACTTTAAAACTATTATGAGTATAAAGTTCTTGAGTGTAAATTCCTTGAAGTTGAACCCATAAGTCTCTTGCCCATATTTCATATCTGATTGAGTCACGCGTTAATTGCAGTTTGGATCACGCGTTATCAGTCTGAGTGACAGTCTACTAAACGTGTTATCCCGAGCTATCTGCTGACGTTAAAGTTCCCAATAGCCTCCCCTAACTGTTGCAACTCCGGCCTTCTCTCTGGATCATATTCCCAACACTGCAGCAGTATCTGCTGTCTGGGATATTGAAATGGATGTGAGCAGTGTTGACTTAACAGTAACACGTTGTTAAAAGTGAAATTAATTGATACCCAACATATCACGTGATGTCCATATAAGGATCTACAAGTCACGTGTAACTCACAGTGGAAAGTAGGTATTGTGTGGAGGCTCGGGAGGGACTCGTTTCTTCATAGCTCGTCTGATGTCAGTCTGAGAGAGTTTGGGCCAGGGAACGTCCCCGTAAGACACCACCTCCCCTATCAGAATACCATAGGACCAACTGAGGGAAATAGGAAATAGGAAACTTATTATTTTGTGTGTATGTATCTTGGTGCTATTTCCTTGGTTATCTGAATTAATCAAGACGTTTTCAAATTTTCCGTTAAGCTAAAAGCTCAAAAAATGAAGACACGTGCACTTTGCAATTGTTTACTAAATAAAAGAACCTACATGTCACTCTTATCTGAGTAAACTCTCTCCAGAACCAGTTCAGGAGCCGCCCACCTCACAGGGATAGCCACGCCCTGTTTTGCTTCATGTTCCCTTCTAACCTCCACGTGGTGAGACGACAATCCAAAATCTGTACGTGGGCAATAATGACAATGTCGAACTTCAAGCTAGAATATTGCTTACAGACACAGTAATTCTAAGAAAGGATCTGTTCGACTTGTTGTTATGCCATTGGTTTGGATGTGGGTATTAGGATAATATTATAATTTATAATATACAACATAATTTACCTGATATTTTGGGTCTGAACGTCTCGTCCAGTAAAATGTTCCGAGCTGACAAGTCCTGATGTACTATTCCCTTCTTGTGGAGGTGTTCCTGAGGTGCACAGTCGAGAGTAAGGAGTTAGACTTACTTTAAGCTTAATAGTCGTGAAGCTTTAACAGTACTGAGATAATTATAAAATTGCCTCATCCTAACCAAATAGCCGGCTAATAGCCCTCTAACAGCCGGTTGGCATTGTACCTACTTGCCACCAAATGTTGTACGCTGTCTTTAAGCATTTTAATAGACTTACCAAACCATGTGCGACGTCTCTGAGCATTTGAAAGATTTGTGTAAATGTGAACATTGTTCCGTCTTTAACAGATCCATAAATGGTCTTCCTATCGTGACACGGTGTACATTGGCTGAAATTGTGATTATTATTGCAATTTTATTTGTAGTTTACAAAGTTCTACAGTAGCTAAATCCGCGCCGTTCTGAATCAAAAAAGTACGCTAGAAATGAGTAGCATTATTGATCATGGAGTAGGTCCCCTGATTTTTTAATTTCCTCACCTGATAAGTCTGAAGAGGTCTCCTTTAGTACAGAGCTCCAAAATAACCTGAGGTCGCGGGCTGTTACAGGTCAAGGCCCCGTAGAACTTTATCACGTTTGGGTGGGTCCCACACAATCTTAGAATGTGAAGTTCTCTCAGAAACGCAGCCACCATTATCCCTCGTCCTTCTAGGGGAGATAGGAGCATCATAAAAAGGCTTTTAGCTTGTTTAGAATTAGTCGTTAACTCCAATTCTGCAACTCCACAAATCAAAAAAATAATCTGTTTACATTTACAATATAATCTGAATATATAATGGGCCAGAAGTTCGAGATTTGCAGTCGCTGCTATGTTAAACATACCACCAATTCAAACAAATACAGATATGTTTTCAACATATAATCAATTGTGACACAGAATGTAGGTACCTAGTAATGTACCTACTCCTAGTACCAATGTACTATGTACCAAGTTATGAATAAATGGGACATACTCTTGAGAGATTTAATAGCGACGTTGTGCAGGGCTCCAGTCTCCCGGTCCCTGAGTAGCCCCTCGTGAACATCACCGTATGCTCCCCTCCCTATTACTTTGGTCACTACAAGGTCCTCATCGGCGAGCTCTGGGATTATTCCTTGCTTTATCGCTAAACCCTGGTGGAGATAGAGAGCTACATTTAGAATTCTAGAAACTTGGTTATTGGTGATGGATGTAAGCTTGGTTATCAATAAGTCTGGGTAAGGTAATGATCTAGAGAAATGTGTTTAGAAGAGGGTCTCTAACCTCTAATCTTGTGAGTGAGCTGTAGAGGGAGTGAGGGCTGAGTTTTTTGTACTGTCTCTTGTTTGTCTCCTGGTTCAATGCTCCACAATTCAGTCTGTGCTGGAAGTGCAGTCTCTTGTTGATCGCCTCCGAGATCTTGGATACATTTTCTGTGATCTTACTGTTCGCAAGGTTGTCGGAGATCTTGCTGAAATGATGGGTTGTGCTGTTGAAAACTGCGCTGGCATCTTGGTAGAGGTTCGTTATCATTCCCAAATTCTGGAACTCAGTTTTTAATTCCGTGCTTGCTCCAATCTCACCTCCACCACCAGCATCTCGTGATTCTACTGTGATACGGATCACTAGGTAGGTGTAATTAGTGAGGCTAACGTTACTGTCTTACTGCTAAACATATAACAAAGAAATGAAGAGGAACTAGCTGGCTGACTCTAACTCTACAATCTACATTCTGAGTCATTGCACGGTTACGATTCGGACAGATCATTCAGATCTGCCGGATAATCAAATCATGGTATAAGGATGGGCAGGTCACAAATAGCTTAGCTATTCACATCCCCTAATTATGTCCTGCCTCTGATAATTTAATTGCAGTTCAATTTAAAAAGTAAAGTACAGAGTACAATGGTACGCATTAATTCTGCCTGCCAAATTATGGCATCTCTATTTTTTATCACAATAGTGGCGGTATCTTATTATCGTAGTACTACTGAAACGATGGAAAATTTAGTGTAAGGAATTAGGACGAGTTACAACATATTCTGACTTCGTGCAGATAGAAAAATAAAAGAGAGCAAATTGAAGGTAAGATGGAAACGGATTTATGAAGGCGAGATAAACACACTACACAGACTAGTCGTTACGACGCGAAGCAAAGCGTGACTGACAATAATGGCTCGGACAACACACCTAAATGGAGCTGCGGATAAGTGGCTAATGGAGTGAGTGATGAGGTGGCTGAGGCAGGGGAGGGAGTGGCACCAGGACATGAACCCAGGCCCAGAGGCTAGTGTGACGCGGGAGCTTGTAAACACAGCCCTGCGACTAATGATAAACTCTGCAATACAGCTGCTAGCTCTCCCGCTCTCTCTCTTTACATGCACTCCTTCTCTTATAGTTATAACAGTACACAACAAACCGGCAACTGCCCACCAATTACTCCCGCTTCACCAGGATATGCAAAAAGTAGTGATAGCGGTTCGGTGGCAGTCACGTGCATCTGGGAATGAAATTGCAGTAAAATGGAGTGATGGATATTGTTGTTTATCGTGTCGTATATTTCTCGGTGATGGTGGCAGACACGTGTCGAAATATTAGAAATCCTATGAATCGAACGACCACAAATTTCAGGTAAAGTTCTTCATTACAACGATGTAGGAAATGTAGATGAAATAGAAATTATACTCGTCAACTTGGCTATAAAGACCTACGATCATTGAATATAATATTATAATGGGCAAAAGACGTAGGCTATAAGTGCTGGGCAATTAAAAGTAGTTTTCAGCGTCATGTCTGGTAGCGTTAACGGTAAGTAGTAAGACTAAGACAATGACCTCACAATTACATGAATCACGAGATGAGATGTTCTAGCTGACGTTGTACTGTCGCAGTGCAGTCCATATTGGAGTAGTTTTACGGGTGGTGGTAATAAGCTAATCGCTTTCCTGCCTCTCTGTCTTTACCTCGCTATAGAAAGAGGTGGGGTCTATGAGTATAAATATAGCTCTCTATTATTGATTATAAATATCAAAGTGCCGGCAACTGAGAGTGAGATAATTTGAAGAAGGCTGATTTAAACTATTTATAGGCAACCTGAGGACTTCAGGCTTTGTTGTTAAACAAATCGATCGAAGATGTGGCTGAGAGAGAAAGAGGGAGAGAGAGGGAGAGAGAGAGAGGGAGAGAGAGAGAGGGAGAGAGAGAGAGATAGAGGGAGAGAGAGAGAGAGAGAGAGAGAGAGAGAGAGAGAGAGAGAGAGAGAGAGAGAGAGAGAGAGAGAGAGAGAGAGAGAGAGAGAGAGAGAGAGAGAGAGAGAGAGAGAGGAGAGAGAGAGAGAGAGAGAGAGAGAGAGAGAGAGAGAGAGAGAGAGAGAGAGAGAGAGAGAGAGAGAGAGAGAGAGAGAGAGAGAGAGAGAGAGAGAGAGAGAGAGAGAGAGAGAGAGAGAGAGAGAGAGAGAGAGAGAGAGGAGAGAGAGAGAGAGAGAGAGAGAGAGAGAGAGAGAGAGAGAGAGAGAGAGAGGGAGAGAGAGAGAGAGAGGTAGGGAGAGAGAGAGAGAGAGGGAGAGAGAGAGAGAGAGAGAGAGAGGGAGGGAGAGAGAGAGAGAGAGAGAGAGAGAGAGAGAGAGAGAGAGAGAGAGAGAGAGAGAGGAGAGAGAGAGAGAGAGAGAGAGAGAGAGAGAGAGAGAGAGAGAAGAGAGAGAAGAGAGAGAGAGAGAGAGAGAGAGAGAGAGAGAGAGAGAGAGAGAGAGAGAGAGAGAGAGAGATAGAGAGAAAGAGAGAGAAAGAGAGAGAAAGAGAGAGAAAGAGAGAGAAAGAGAGAGAAAGAGAGAGAGAGAGAGAGGGAGAGAGAGAGGTATAGAGAGAGGGAGAGAGGGAGGGAGGGAGAAAGAGGCTGGTGCCGTTCAGTATTACTTAGTCTTACAGCAGGAATGAATAAAACATCAGGTCGTGAGAGCTCCTCAAAATCCACTTCCATTAAAAATCTGGGCTTGCCCAAATGTTCTTATATCTTGTAAAAAGGCCCTATGGGTATGAAAGTGATTATTCCGAAATCCGAATCAACTCCCTGAACTTGGAGTTGGATGAAAACGCTTCCCTGAGGGTTAGAGTTATTGATTATGGTTAGGGTTTTATAAGAGTAGCTTCAGGGCTATAACCTTAACCCATAACTGTCATTTAAACACGACATGACCCTAAACAAATTTCCGTTTTGTTTAATGCCCTTAATTAATCGGTTTGGCTGAATACAACCAGGTGAATGTCTCTTCTAATAAGACGTTATTTCTATGCTGTAAGGCGTTTTAATTAACCGTATCTGCTGATTACGACCTGGTGAATGTATTTACTAATAAAACGTTTGTTGTCGCTAGGAATGAGTGAGATGATTATCTTATTTTAATTCGGATCTGTAACTTCTTCCCCCAATGTGCCATGTGGTATGAACAGTGGTGTGGTAGTGGAAGTGAAGAATTAGATTGGCAGTTTAACTTGGGGTTGGTTCCTCTAATAATAGGAGACTCCTCTGAAGATTGGCTATTCTGTAGTATATTTATCTATATTCTTTCTTAAATCTAAATCCTCATGGACGATGTCTGAGACTTTCTGTTGGATCGGTTACTATTAGAAAGTGGTTTGGGTGATTCTTTATCTGTTGAGGTGAATGGGATGAAAATCTGTGGTTTTTTAACCCTTAATGTTTAACCTCAATTTGATCTCGATTTGAAAACTGTAGCTGAAAACTGTAACTGAGTGAAATGTTTAGTTTTCCAAAAGTATCATATAGAATTGTGGAACTTTAGTGATGTTATTGAGGTTAAACTTGACGAAGTCTCTCCTCGTGTACAGTATATATACTTTATTGATTATTAAAATACTTATATTTCATGTTTTATTCCCGGACGGCTCCAACTAAATTCAAACTAATTCCACAAAGAATTTTCCACATTTCCCAGCACCTTGACTTCACACCATCTACTAGCACTTCCCCACGAATCCATTCACACAATCCTTTTAATGTTTAAGTTACAACCTTGACCTTTCACAGTCCTACTCCTAACACTACCTTAGCACCAACCAATCAAATTTGAGAGACACGAATCACATGACACTGCACTCCTTTCACCTCCATAGCCGTCCTTGGCTCCGATTGTAAATATGTCTAATTTATCCGATTTGTAACATACGCATGATCTTGGATTCAGTTCCAGTTTTACTAAAAATCCTTTTCTGACTTTAATTTCCTAAACGTCAAACTAATTGAGCGGGTTTCATTTTGAACCAACCAACTCAGTATATAGTACCTGACTCAGACTAGTCCTCTAGATCCCGGTAAATAACAACCTCTACTGCTACACTCGTAGGGATTGACTGTTGAAGATGAGCCTTACCCCGACATTCCTACGCTCCCTTCCAAAACTCGATGGAGAGTGGAAAATTCGACTCTCCCCCCGCGCATTCCTAGGTCGACAGCTCCTCAACAGCGTTATTCATATTGGGCCCGGGTGGACGCGTTAGTGTATGAACGCCTGTCTGCAGCAGGATACCATAAGCTAACTTTCACCGAGGCTCGAGAGTTCTTGGAGCTGTTGGGCCATGCTTGTACAGGACCCAACCACGAGGACATAACTCGACGTTTTTGCTGGAGGTGGAAGAACGTTAGGCGTGCGTATTTGAAACTGTTTGTTTCATGATTGTTTATTGTAAGATCATTTTTCACACCTGACTCAAATTAGTTCATATATGAACTAATTTGAGTCAGGTGTGAAAAATGAATATATAGAAACCAGAGTTCAGTACGAGCGTGCTAAATCACTCTACAGTCGATCTTCGAGATTGTTCTAAAAAGGCCCCCGACGGTTGTAACCAACTTCAATCGATGTATTTTCGGACGCTGATTCTGAATCACCCCCCATGACATAGGGTTAAAATGCTCCCCTGACGAGATATTGGCGAAAAACTGTCTCGATCACGTGATATGACCGTATAAGGAAGTTAGTCTAATTTCTCGTTAGGGTTAGGGTTTCAGCATATGTTTTTGCTAAGGATTGGGTTAGGGTTAGGGTTGGGATCAGATGAGAGGGTTAGGGTTGCGAATAGTCGTTCAGGACCAGCTAGAGAACGGGTTGAAAAAGTCGCGTGACAGTCGAGTGTAGAGTGATTAATCATCATCCAGTTCAGTACCTCAAATAATACACGTTCTCATTTCTCAGCGTTTAGTTTCATACCTATCATTAGGTACTGTAAAAGCATTTCACTACAACCAATAAACTTCATTCCTATAATTAGTCCACCAATTGGACCTAGTTCCATGCATCACGTGACCCCATTTCTAATTATCTGCTACTTTGCTATTTTCTTTCTACCAATTGTTGAAAGAGTTTGTCACTATTCGTCTGCCCAAACCTAAACTCATTTCACTTTCATGTTACATGATCATTTCTCACCAGTTTTAGCTTCACGAATCATGACGTGGATCCATTATTTTAGTAAGTTATAATTTTTTCGTTCTTTTCCGTAAAACTCCATATTTGTCGCTTTTCGTTTGTTAAAACCTACCCCTAAGTCAGGCAGCTAGGTACCACCTACTGTGCTACATTATGAGACCTTATTTTGTGGTGATAGAAACATCTTTCAGGACGTGGGTTTTAGCCAGGGCTGTCAGCGAACGCACCTACGATTAGTGAGCGGCCTAACTGTCTATGGTGAGTACCGTGACGCCGTATCTAAGTTA